CGTGGCCGGACCCATAACCCGGGCGTGAGTTGGCCTCACCTGGTACGGGGCCGGCATCGTGTAGCTCCCCCACCCCCACCCGGTCGGGGTTTTCTTCAACAAAAACATTTGGTTCTTCCCGGCCTAGGGACGGTTAGTCTTTTTTTTTTTCAACAAAAGGGAATTCGCCAGCGAAACTATGTTTTTTTTTTGGGGGGGGAGGGGGGCCCACCCGGCACCTGAGAAGCTAGGGTGGACGCGCGAGAGACCGCCCCCCGCGACGCCCAGAAGCCCCACGCTATAGGCACAGACTGCAGCTGTCAACGCCCTGGAAGTCTGCGCCGGGGGACGCCATTCGACCGCTGGGCTTCGGTGAGGCGGCGGGTCGGCAGGGACTGATCCAACTGGACGCAGCGCCCTGCGGCTGCATGCTGCTGGGCCCACCTTCTGATCTCCAGGCAGCCGGGAACTACCCAGACGGGGCAAGGTGAGTGAGCCAAGGTCATTGCTTTCATGATACAAAACTGACCCAGTCTCTCTCACTTCCACCCCCTTCATCACATCAACGTCGATTTTCTGCGACATTGCGATGCCCTCTTTAGCAAGCCGGCTTGCTTTCAATCACCTGCACAAGAATGATACCTGATATTTTACCCGATCGGAGCTTCGTGCTCGCAGCTACCGGGCCTCAATCCTTGCTATCCTCTTCAAGGTGAGTCGTTGGCCATCCTCGGCAGTCTCCAAATGCAACAGCTGCACGTACCTTACTTGAAAAGACGAGGCACTGACGATACCCACCCCCTTAGTATCAACGATGGCCAACTTCCGTGGGTCACCGAAATCTCTCTTTTGGCCGAAGCTGGGCACCTTCAGATTCTGATCGTACTCGTTTCCCTGCTCTGGACCTCATACCGGTTACTCAACCGCCAATACACCAAAAGGATTCGTCATCACCACAGCGCTTCCGCCATCCGATGGAGATGGGAAGCCTGCGCCCTCACCATCCGCGCAACCACCTTCGTTTTCTTGGTCCTCGCTGCAGCCGAAGGCCAGACCAATGCTCTCAATGCCGTTTGTGCGGCATACGCATTGATCTTCGCCTTGTCGAGACTCATCAACGATATGGAATGGCGCCACATCGCCTTGCACCAAACGAATTTTGTTCTCACAGCCACCCTCATCCTCGTCGCGGCATCGGCCATCTTGCCATGCATCGAGGCACGAGAGCCAGCGACGATCGCCTTTCCTCTGAAAGGGGCTGTCATCAGCCTCGCGCTGTCCGTCTTCATCTCTCTCATCACCCCACGCGAGTGGGTTCCCCCCTCTCTCAAGCATGCGCTGCCAAAGGGGGCGGTCGAGACGGATCCCGCCCCTGAGGAGGTTTGCAGCTGGGCCGACTATTTCCTGACCTACGACTGGTTGACACCGTTGATCTGGACAGGTGCTCGCCGCCCTGTCACCATTGACGACCTGCCCAAGCTGGCATGGTACGACGACCCGCTGCTGCTGCTGTCCAAGATCAAGGCGGCCCGGGCCAAGAGCAAAAATACGCTCTGGACCGTGCTTCGCCTCCTGAAAAAGGAGGCTCTCATCATGGCAAGCTGCATCGCCACGGCCTACCTGCTAGAGCTCGTCGCGCCGTTCGCCCTGTACCAGCTGCTTTCCTACCTTGCTGATCCCAAAGGTTCTGTGATACGCCCCTGGGTCTGGCTGCTCCTCATGTTCTGTGGTCCTCTGTCTCGCTCGGTCTGTTTCCAGCAGTATGTCTTCACTTCAACGAGGTTGATCGTGCGCGTCAAGTCCTCCATGACCCAAGAGCTCTATCACAGGGCCATTGCCTCGAAAGATGTCGAGGACGACGTCTTTGCCATTTCTTCCAAGGACAAGAAGGCAAAGCCTGAGGGAAAGACGGGCCAGACATCGAGTTCTACCGGCCGCCTTGCAAACCTCATGGCCGCTGATGTTGACGCCGTCTTCATGTCCCGTGACATAATCATGATCATGATCGGTGTGCCAACAGGAACGTGTGCCTCCATCATTGGCCTCTACAAAATGCTGGGCTGGCCATCCCTCGTCGGAGCCACAGTGCTTTTGCTCGCTTCGCCCTTGTCCATTTTCATCGCCCAGCTTATGGCAAAGACGACGCGTATCGTTCGTCGGGCACAAGACTCGCGCATCTCTCTCGTGTCAGAATATCTCTCCTCAATCCGAGCTGTTAAGTACTTTGCTTGGGAGGATGCTGCCATCAACCGGATTCTGGAGGCTCGTGAAAATGAGCAGCAGCACATGTGGCGAGTGTCCTTGCTCTATGTAGGCCTAGGTCAGGTCACACAACTGATACCGCAGGCTGCTCTGCTGCTCATCTTCTCGCTTCATGTAGCGGTCATGAAGCAGCCACTTACTGCTGCTACAGCCTTTACGACTGTGTACCTCGTAAAGAACATTCGTAAGAATATTACGCAGGCGGGCAGTTTATCTAGGAATGTTACGGCCGCCATGATAGCACTCAATCGTCTCGACAAGTACTTTGAAAGTACAGTGCCAGTCGAACAGTACCCTGAGGGTCCCCTCGCCATGAATCAAGCTACGTTCCGTCGGAATAAGCTGGCGACGTTCGTGCTAAGGGACATCTCCGTCGACTTTGTTGAAGCTGGTCTCAATGTCGTGTCGGGCCAGAGTGGCAGTGGCAAGACGACTCTACTCCTCGCCATCCTCGGCGAGACTGACCGACAGCATGGAACAGTGACTCGCCCCAAAGATGTCGCTTTTGCTTCTCAGACGGCTTGGCTGCAAAACGAGACGATTCAGGATAACATCTTGTTCAACAGTGCTTTTGAACAAGTGCGCTATGATAGAGTCATTGACGCCTGCTGTCTGTCTTTTGACTTGAGCCAGATGGACAAGGGTGACAAGACGGTTGTGGGTGAGAACGGTGCATCCTTGTCCGGTGGCCAAAAGGCAAGAGTCGCCTTGGCGAGGGCTCTCTACTCCAAGGCCCCCCTTCTGCTGCTCGACGACATCTTCTCGGCCCTAGACGCTAAAACGTCGGCCCTGCTTTGGGAGCGTTGTTTCTGCTCCGACATGCTTGACGGAAGAACGACTGTCCTCGTGGCTCAACAGCCTTGGGTAGCGGCTCAGTCTGATTTGTCCATCACCCTGGATAAGGGTGAGGTCGTCAGCACGGAGCAAAATCTTGGCATTGTCAGGCAGCCCGTGGTGGCTTCGCAAGAGGTTGCGTGGGGGAGCAATCTGGGTGAGCCGGAACTCGAGGCCGGGAGTGATGCTTTGAACGACAGGACCCAGACAGCAGATGACCCAGCTGGAAAGAACCTGGTAGCCCAAGAGATGAAGGCTAGCGGCAAGAGTGCCCGTCTTATGTGTAAGTGTCGACATCGACAGTATTGTGACAAGAAATGCAGCCTGCTAATCGTGCCCAGTCTTCAAGTACATGACGTGCTTTGGCAGCCCATTCTACGCGGTTGTGTGCCTTCTGGTTATGCTTTTCATGAACATAGCCTGGCTCGGTAGTTCGCTGTGGCTATCCGTCTGGGTCGAGGCTTATTCCAAACAGGAGGCTGTCGACATTACCTTTTATCTCGGCATCTATGCCGCCTTCACTCTTGCCGAGACGATAAGCTACGCCCTCACGGTTCTTGTATTTGAGAATGGTGCGTGGCACGCCGCAAAGAAGCTGCACCGCGACTTCATCCGTGCCGTCATGCGCGTGTCCTTATCGTGGTATAAAGACGTGCCAGTCGGCCGCATCATCAACCGCTTCTCGCGCGACATGTACTCTGTCGACTCGACCATCTGCTCGCAGCTTCGCAGCTTTCTCGACTGCGGTATGAGCATTCTCTTTCGTCTTGGCGCCATCAGCTCCATTCTGCCCGTCTTCATGCTACCTGCAGCCGCGACGTGCGCCGTCGGCGTTGTTGTGGGCGAGATGTACACGCGCACGGCTGTGACCATCAAGCGCCTGGTTGCGTCGGCGCAGAGCCCCGTCTTCACGCAGTTCTCCGACACGCTGGCTGGTCTCGCTGTCATTCGGGCACGCGACGGCATGGGTGATGTGTTCAGCGAGGCGTTGGCCGAGAGGCTGCGGACATGGTCGCGCGCCGCAGAAGCCAATTACAATTGCAACCGGTGGGTCGCGATGCGAGTGGACGTAATCACGGCGCTCGTGGGCCTCACGGCGGGCATCATTGCTGTGTCCAAGGCGGGGATCGTGGCGGCTGGCCTCGTAGGCTTTTCCTTGACCAACGCAACGGGGTTGAGTCAGACCATCCTGCACCTTGTGCGCAGCATGAACGACCTCGAGGTCGAGATGCAGAGTGTCAGTTTGTCCTGTTCTTCAGCATGGAACGTTAGCTAACTTCTTTTCTAGTTTGCCAGGGTACGCGAGTATGCTGGGCTTGAGCCAGAAGAAAAGTCGGACAAGTCGTACGCTGAAGAGGGTCAGTATGCAGACGACGATGAGCATGTCATTCCCCGGCACTGGCCTGCGACGGGCAAGATCGAGTTTCGCAACGTGACGATCCGATATGACCTCGAAGGACCCGACATTTTGACCAATGTCAATTTGAAGTTCAACGCCGGAGAAAGGGTGGCCATTGTTGGGAGGACAGGCTCCGGGAAGAGCACGGTATGATCCAACAATACTTCTCATGTAATTCGAGACTGACTGTCACAGTTGGTCCTGTCCTTGCTGCGGTTTACGCACATCGTATCGGGTGAAATTCTCTACGACGGCATGGACATCACAAAGACGCCGCGCCGTAGGCTGCGCGAAGCCCTCACCATCATCCCACAGGAGGCAGTGCTCTTCAACGGCACCGTAGAGTCGAACCTCGACCCGACCGGCAACATGGAAGAGGAAACCCTGGCCAAGGTGCTTCAATCATGTCGAGACATTGCCTCCTTCCAGAACCAGGCCAATGGCGCTCTCGAGGCAGACGGAAATGCACCGACGGCTGGCATTGCGCTCTCGACGCAGGTTACCGCCAAAGGTGAGAACTTCTCGCACGGCCAGCGGCAGGTGCTCTCTCTATGTAGGGCGCTAGTCCGCAAGAGCCGGTTGATGCTTCTGGACGAGGCGACGGCGAGCATGGACTACGAGACGGACAGGGGAATCCAAGAAGCGCTGCGCAGGGAGCTCGATGAAGCGGGCGGAGATAGGACACTCGTGACGATAGCGCACCGGCTCAGAACGATCATTGATTATGACACGGTCGTCGTCATGGCTGGAGGGAGGGTTGTCGAGGTGGGCAGGCCGAAGGAATTGTATGCGAGGGCCGGGGTGTTCTATGACATGGTCTACCACAGTGGCGAAGGGGAGGAGCTGAAGGAGATGTTGAGAGGGGACGGCGAGTCGTCCGAGGTGTCTTCCTGACGCTGCGGGATGGCCATCATGGTCCCCGGGCGAGCGAGGCTAGAATGAGGATTGTGTTCAGCCCATGCACTTGGCAGTAGCCACCTGTCTAGGTAGGTAAGGTACTTTACTTATTGATAGACTTGTATGGTAGTGGGCCCCTAATTGGGACGTCCGGGTTCTCTCCGTGCCCAGAGGGGTGGTATAACAGGCTGGCGGACCCCTCTTACTGGCCAGTTGTAGAAACTCAAGTGTGTTCCTCTTGCTTCGGGAGTGAACATTCACATCCTTGGTTGCCTCTGCCGTTTCAGCATCGCCAACAGCTTCAATTTCATCAACATTGGGAAGTCACCCGCAAGATGGCCCGTTCCTGGGCAATGACCGCCGGTGGGGGGTCGGCTTATCGGTCTACGAGACTTGGCCGGTGTTTCCCCGCGATCCGCCCCCACCGCCCACCGCTCCTGCCCTATCTGATTGTATAATCTGGCCCGTGCTTTCTTGAAAGTTAATGGCCAAGTGGACACGATATACCGCGATCGTCCGTCAAGTCGCGTTGACGGGCTCTACTACATCCCCGACTTCTCGAAAGAGCTTCGTACTTCGAGCGCAGAGACCTTCATTGTCTAGGTACTTAGGCATATTGACCATTCCTCTCGACGCGTGTAGTCAAGCCTCACCCGGCACATCTGTCACGCCTGTTCTTGTTCTCCTTCCCAGTTTGGAACTCTGACCTTCGCCATCGCCAACAATGGCTACCCGTTCCCTCAAACCAGTCCTGTGTGGCTTGGTCCTCGCCTTTGCGCTGCACGCTGGCATTGCTGCTGCTTCGTCGGCCTACGACAAGGGCGATCCTCTTTTCAATGCCCAAGTCCTCGAGAACCTGAGCCTCGAGGAGTTTGACGGTGAGCTTCAGGTAGGAAATGCCCCCTAGGCATCACCTCTCCACTTTGAACTGCAATGTTGCCCCTGAACACAAGTTCAATACATTTGGAGTCGGGTTCGCAGACGACAACTAACACAGCTACTAGCAATGCCCCATCGTTGCCTCTCTCTCGGGCGCAAAGGCCGCGCACTTTTCCTCGCAGACGTCGTCCTTCCTCTCTCGCGCCTTCGCCGTGCTCTTCCCCGCTGAGCGCCCCGCCATCAATGCCCTCCTTGCCACCCTCTACATCTCTGGCCCCCCGAACCTGCTGCTGGCCCTCTGCCCTCCCGATATCGATCCGGCTTCGCTCTCTGTCATGGTTGCCTTTGCCGTCGGCGGTCTCCTCGGCGATACTCTCTTCCACCTGCTACCCGAGATCTTTCTCGGCGAGGACGAGCCCGACAAGGCGCGCTTTGTGCTGGTCGAGCCCCAGCGTAATCTTCTTCTCGGTGTCGCCATTCTTGTGGGCTTCATGACCTTTGTCGCCATGGACAAGGGCCTTCGGATCGCAACCGGCGGCGCCGGACACGACCACGGCCACGGACACTCGCACGGCGAGGCCGAAGAGGTTGTCGCCGAGGCCGTCAGCTCTGCGCTCGACAAGGCGGACGGCAAGGCCAAGAACCGCAAGGCTAAGAAGGGCGAGGTTGCCGTCATCAAGCCCGCTGAGAAGGAGATTAATGCCAGTGTCAAGCTGGGTGGGTACCTGAACCTCATGTAAGTGCACCAAATCTTCTTCGTCTCTTGTGCGTGTCAAGATATCTGACGTGAATAGCGCCGATTTCACGCACAATATCACCGATGGTCTTGCCATGTCGGCCAGCTTCTACGCATCGCCCACTATTGGCGCCACAACGACGGTGGCCGTCTTCTTCCACGAGATCCCCCATGAGGTTGGCGACTTTGCGCTGCTCGTGCAGTCTGGTTTCAGCAAGCGTGCTGCCATGGGCGCGCAGTTCGTTACGGCTCTCGGCGCGCTGCTGGGCACCCTTATTGGGATTGCTGTGCAGGAGCTCGGTGGTGGAGCCGGTGACGAGGGCGGACCGATGGGACGAAACGGCGGTATCTGGGGCACCAGCCTTGTAAGTGGTTCATTTTTTTTGCTCGTTCTTATGTCACCCCGATGTGGCGCAAGAGTCTTGTTTGTTTTGTTCCTGCGCATCCGATTTACCCAGCTTCCTATTTGCGCCGGTTGCATACAGGCGTCCGACTGTACCCCTATCAAGCTGCCTCTTTATCCCTCGTGCATATGTCGCCCCGCCTTGAGTTTCAACCGACCCGCGGCTGACTTTTTGACTTCACAGAGCTGGGGTGACCTGTTGCTGCCGTTCACGGCTGGCACGTTCCTCTACGTCGGTACGGTGGCTGTCATTCCTGAGCTGCTGGAGACGGGTCCCAACAAGGCCCAGGAGCTGAAGAAGACGGTCGTGCAGTTTGCAGCGATTGCTCTGGGAGCAGGCATCATGCTGTTCATCTCGTGGCACGACTAGAGTGCCGGAGGCTAGTAGCACGGATTGACTTCACAGTACAAGCATTTCGTTCGTTCAAGGAACGGGTTTCCATGTGGTAGAACAAAAAGTTACATAGAAGAAGTCTGGCCTCAAGAGCAGGGCTAGGCTGAGACAGACTGGCCGACCGGCCGGCCGAAGTGAACGACACGAAACTATGAACAAGCCTCAACAGCGCTCGCTTCACGGTCCCGAATGTGATGGGTGCTGACGAATAGTGATGGTGGAGGGACCATGCCTCTGGCGTGCATGCATGCAGCACCGATTTTTCAAAACTCATCCTGTTTACCCAGGCGGCGGGTTCGCGGCAAGGGACCCTTCCTGCCCCCTGCCCGGCCCCCTCGCTCGTCACACCTCCTCGGGATGCCACGCGGGGCCCCGAAAGTTGGGGAACAGCGTTGCACATGCACCTGTGCAAAGGCCATAGCTCAGCCGCTCCCCCTCCCCAAAGAGGCGTCGAATAGAGTCACGCCGAACCGAAAAGAGACCCATCACATTCACCTAATCATTCAGCGGCCGCCGAAACCGTTGCGGGCGCCGACGCCGGCTGCGGCAACGTTTCCCGCCGTCGTCCAGCTCTCTGCTGGGTGGCTTATTCGTGGCTTGCATCAGGCAAAAGGGGGGGCGTGCTTGGAGCTGGAGAGCGGGAGAGTGAGTGAATGGCCGGCCGCTCGCTGTCCAGATTGAGCGACCATTTGACGCGCGTAGCAAAGTCAAACACCAACGAGGTAGTAAAGTCAAACATCAACGAGGCGTCGTGTGAAACGGAGAAAGCGCGTGGGAGGAAAACAAGTGTAGAGCTTGCATTCGACGTGGGCATCTGACAAAGTCACAGTACTTCGAAGACCTCGCGGCATGAGAGAGAGGCTTCCCGTCCCCTGCAGAGCGGAGCCAAGTTGCCGGGTGTCATTTAAAACGCATCAGTCTTACACACATGTAGTTGTGTTACCCTCGACCTCGTCTCGTGTACAGTCTGTATGGACGGAAATGCGTCAAGCTGAGTGAGGCGCAAATGGCGTCTTACTGCTTCGTAATCCCACTCGTGACGCCCAAGGCGGGGCGCAAGGAAAGGGGAGAAAACACCACAGGCTAGACACTGTGGCTTGGGTTGAGTCACTGAGCGAGAGGGCCAAGAGTGAGGTCAAAAGGCGCGAAGGGGGGACTCAGAGGGCAGGATTACCAATCTGCTCGTGTGAATAATCCAGCGAGGCGGCTGTTTTGGGGGGTTGGTGTTTTAGCAGCCTCGATGACACCACTGGGGAGACTCAGCTGGCCTGAGCTGATCTGGTCAGACAAACCCCCATCAGGTTGACATGTCGTCCGAAGGGCGGACGCTTGGGCCAGGTGACAAGACTGATGCAGCGCTGTCGCTCTCCCGCCTGGGCGCCTTGGAATCCGTGACCCCCTTCCGAAGCACGCCCTGTGACGAGTCTTTCTTCTGCCCAGCGTGATTGACAGCTACTGGTGGTGCCAGACAACAGCAGGCTCCCTGCCGATGTCGGCGCTCCGAGGGTCGGACGTCGGGGGTGTTGTCGAACACGCACCTACCTAGGGAAAGGCGCATTTGACGATAGTCTCCATTTTCGCTTCCTCGATCTGCTTTGAGTGGAATATGGGGTTGGTCCTGGGGGAAGGAGGCGGGTACGCGGGATGGTAGGACGGAGTTTCAGCGGAGATGAGCATGTTTCTTGCCATGGTGCTCTCTTGTGGCGTGAGCTACTGAAGCAAACGAAGTGGATGGGATGGTGATGCTTTCAGAGCACCGTCAAGCCGTCGAAGCCATCTGGCGCTGCTGACTCACCCTAGGTATCGTGGTGGGCAACTGCCTACCCTACATGTACCTACCTAGACAGGCAAGACAGGTAGGCGTGGTGCAGCAGGCATCCTGGCGCTGGCAGGGCAGTACAGCAGCTGGCACTTACTCCTGATCGGCGGCAGCTGGCACTACCTACAAGTACCTCTAGACTGAAGAGCCATTGGGGCAATCCTCCAAGTTGAGGCGCACATCAGATCAGTGAAAGTAGGCGTCAATCGCACCAAGGCTTGGTCTCCCGTCGGCCGAAAGTGGGCACCCCTCCAGTACCTGTCTCTGAACCTCCAAAGATGGAGAACAGCCTGACGAGAAAATCCAGAGTGCAGAAGAAAAAAATACTTCCCAGGGATGACGACACAGAATTTTTCTTGAACATTCAAGGCCACATGCCCACACCAGCAAAGCTTGAGACCCCCGTTTGGTCCAAACATGCAGCCGGTCTGGCCACGCAATGTCGTAAGGGGATCCACGGCGCGCGGCTCAAAATGGAGACACAGGCAGCCAAAGAGGACCCGCTTGCTTCCGCTGCGCGATGCTTCCAAGATCGTTCTACTGCACACAAAGTAGAAACCGGGAATAAAGAGGCATCTCACGACACCATTACTTTGATGCACGACTTAAGATGGAGAGCCGCAAGCGCGCCGGCCCCCCCCCCCAGAGAGCCATATCCCGAGAAGACGTGCGCAGCGCCGAGCATGTCGTCGGGCGAGGGTGCGTGGCGTGGCGTGTGGTGCGCATCGCGAAGCGTGACATCGTGGTTGTTTGACATGGTAGCATCATTCTGGAAGAAAATGAGGTAAAGAAATCCGCTTGACATAGAAGGGTCCACGAAACATGGCGGCTCATGCCATCGTTTGAGGGCATGCTACAGTAAACAGGTGGAGGCTCCTCAGAATGCATCGTGCAGCATCGTGCATTGAGCGCAGCATCGTGATGAAAAGCTAGACTGCGTACCATGTAATAAGTAAACAAGCGAGGAGAGAAGAAAATTCTCTTCAGACGTGACCTTGATTCGGCCAGTGGCCAACCGGACAGGACCTTGTAGCAAAATTACTGGCGCATCGTGGTGTCATGGGCACCGCAGGCGGATGGATCTCATTAGACATGTATTCTTCCCCTTACGTAGAAACCTGGCGAGGCCGACGATGGTTGCCCCCCTGGCGACCCCCCTCCCCCCGTGCGACCCGTGTGGTGGTGCCGGCGGGTGGCTGGCCGGAGCGGAAAAAAGGGTGAAAATTTTCCCAGGGGCCCTGAACACCACTAGGCACAGCGCTTAAGGGCCCCCTCGACAGTGTACGTTAGGCGCACGCGGGAAGCCGACGTGGCCCCGTCTGCGGACCGTGTACGTTAAGGCGACCCGAGCAGATGGATCCCCACCCAACCCGCCCAGGTCCGCGCGCATCACTTAACGGCAAGGCGCCGTGTGGCCGGATGGATACCATTAGACACGAGAACCGTGTACGTTAGGCGCAGCCGGGCACGAGGTGGTCCTTCGGAAACCATCGATGGCGGAAGGGAGGGGCAGTTTCACCGTCTCTTGCAAAGTAGAGATACTTGGTCTACCTTGGCTGGATTGCTCGTTGAAATTGGTGTCGGTGTCATCGAGAGCTTGCGACGGCGCGGAGATGCATCTTTTGCTGGGGGGGATGGGATGGTGGTGGTTCATTGCTGTTTTGGGCCATGTGTGCTTGGAGTTGTTGCTTGGGGCTGTCGATGACTTGGACCAACGCAAAAGCACTACAGGAAGAGGAAAGGGTTGAAAGAGGCAAGGTCGGCTTTCGGTGCCGTTGTCTGCTGCTCTCGGTATGTGCTGTCGGGACGGTCTCCTGTTGGCTGTTTCGATCTGCAATCAGTCAGTCACTCGCTGCCCAGCCAGGCAAACAGCACCAGTGGACGTGCATGGCCACCGGAGAGGGGGGGTTCTGTAATGGACAGACGTGGCCAGCTGATGCCACACACAATCCTGGCATCTGGCGACGGCTTCTGCCAAGTGGGCCTGTAACCCAAATTCCGTCATGACGTTGGATCCATCCATTCACTTGAGGATCGTAAGACGTGCTCGCGAGCACCCGTCAGAAGTCAAGGGTTCTTCATCGAGCCGTCGTGAGCCGGTCAAACCCAAGTCAGGGGCCACTCTTCACAGTGAAGTGTAAGAGTCAGAAACTTGCCGCTGGTATGACCAGGTTTGTGGTCCTCAAGGTGGATGAGCAAATGCGACGAGTTGAATGTGGGTTTCTCACGCCTTGTGATGACAAGATGGCGCTAGCCTTGAGTGCTGGCTGCCATTGAACGTGGCGTGCGCCTTTCGACGGTAGCTCACCGACAGGGCCTACCTAATAATGGAACCAACGTGAATGAAGGAGACGGGCGTCTATGCCGCTGTGGAAGAACATGGTTCGTTTGTTGGTCAACCAATCCACAAACAATGAGTTCTGACAAGCTTCTGTTGCTCGCAGTGGAGGTCCAGGTGCAGACAGAGGGGCAGCATCGGTTTGTGAGACCCATCAGCCATCAGGGAGACGAGAGCCAAGCAGGATCTGGAGGCAGCTGCTACGGGTACTAGTTGGGAGGCGCTTTCAGCACAGTCACAGCGCCCCCGCGCGCTGTCGGGAAGTGTCAACCTACCTACCTTACCTACCTTGACCTGCCCTGCCCTGCCAGAGATTGAATTGAATTGGTGTGGACGGTCGAAGGTCCGGAGGTCGGCGTCTCCACTCGCAGTACAAGCGAAGACAAGGTGGGGATATGGGACCCACCCTCCGGAACGAGTCACAGGCGCAGGGCGTGCTGGACATGCAACACTGGCAAATGCACTACGGCAGCTCCACCTCCATCTCATCCCAGGGCCAAGCCCATCCCTCATCACCCACCCACTCGATCGCTCCTACCCATCCACATCCACTTCGAGCCGGGTCTGTGCAAGTGCGAAGGGCAGGCCCAAGAAGCAGGAAGACGGCGGAGGTACTCCTGCCATGTACAGGTACCAACGAGGTGTGCGTCCAGCCCCTGCCCGCCAGACGGCAGGCACGCCCTGCCAGTACTCGGTCCTCAGTACTCGGTGCCCCTTGGCCATGGCCCACAGCAGTTCGTCCATGCCCCCAAACAAGCCATGACACCCATGGGCCATGACACCCATGGGGCACCATCGAAAGGTAGTTAAAGAAGCTTCTCCTCCTCCCCGTCCGTCGATCATGGGTTGGCAGCCATTATCCTCCTTCTCTCAGGCAAGCACGTCTTCACTTGCTTTCAAATCATCTCTTGCATTGTCATCAAGTCGATATTGTCATCAACTCCACATGACGCCCTGCCCATCACAACATCACCAACCACAACAGCTACCACTTCCATAAAGAGCATCACTTGGGAAGCCTACTAGATCGTCTAGACAGGCTCTCCCACACCATCACCAGCCTGCCTCCAGTCCATCGACTGAGCTGCCCGTTGCCTACTCAGCTCACTGACACCCCTTTCAAGTCAAGGGGTCTCGTCGTGGTCCAAGGCATCTGAGAGAACCAAGCACTCCAACCGTCGTCACTTAGCCCATTGTCACCAACACCGCCAACATGTCCTCCGTCAGCGACATCAGCTCTGTCTTCGGCTCTTTCGCCCGCCCTCCCATCCCCAAGGGCCCCAGCATCGAGATCAAGCTGGACAACCACTACAACTCCAAGGTCTACTCTTCCGGCTCCCCGGTGGCTGGCGAGGTCACCATCACCCCCTGGAAGGACACCCGTTTCGACTTTGTCTCCATCATCCTCATCGGTCACTCGCGCACCCGCCTCGACGCTGCGCAGATCGCCCAGCACTCCTCGCACACCTTCCTCAAGCTCAACATGCCCATTCCCGCCTCGGCCTACCCCGTGCCCCGCGTCTTCGAGGCTGGCCACAAGTACAGCATTCCCTTCAACTTCGTCATTCCTCACCATCTGACCTTGAGCGCCTGCAACCACCCGAAGCAGTCGGATGCTGTCTATGACCAGCACATGCGTCTGCCCGCCTCGATGGGTGCCTGGGGCAAGGACGACATGTCGCCGCAGATGGCGCGCGTCGAGTACATAGTCAAGGCCCGCGTCGCCGAGATGCCTGAGCTTGGTGGCCGTCCGATCAAAGTGATGGAGGATCACTACCACATCAACGTGCTCCCCATTTCCCCCGAAGACCCCCCTCTGAACATCACGTCTGAGGACAAGGGCTATCGCCTCACCAAGGCCAAGACGCTCCGAAAGAACATTTTCACGGCCAAGCAGGGCCGCATCATCGCCAATGCCATTCAGCCTCCCGCCATCCGCCTCGGCGCCGACGGCCGTACTGCCTCGGAGACATCTGTCACGGTTAACCTGACTTTCGAGCCCACATCGCCCGAGATTGTGCCTCCCAACGCCAGCCACGTCTCGGCCAAGGTCCACGCGGTCACATGGTTCAGCGCTGCGCCCATCTCCAACTTGCCCAACATGGGCGACGCTCGCCATAGCTACGCGGCGCTGCCTCAGCTGAGCTACTCGACATCTGTGTCACTCTTCTCGGATGATCTCGAGAAGACCCAGTGGCAGATTCGCGCCACGAACCCGTCGCGCCGCGACTCTGGCTACTCCAGCGAGGGCCAGCCCGACAGCAACTCGGACTCGGACCAGCCGTCGAGCCGTCGCAGCAGCAAGTCGGCGGCTTCAGGCAAGGCACCCATCTTCCATGAGACGGCACTTCACATTCCCGTGCGCATTCCCACCGGACGCAAGCTCTTCCTCCCCACCTTCCACAGCTGCCTCATCTCTCGCACCTACACCCTGCAAGTCGGCGTCACGGTTGGCGACGCCAAGCTCAACCTATCGGTGCCTCTTCAGGTCATTGTTGAGCCCACGGCCGACCAGATGATGCAGGCTACCGGCCTCCCCAGCTTTGACGCTGTCATGGCCCTGCAGGAAGCAGCGGACGCCGATGAGCTTCTCCGTGGCCGCGTCATGCGCCAGCCGGACCCTGATTTCCAGGAGACGAGCGTACTTCCTGGTTACGGCGATTTCCTGGTCAGCAGGGCTGTCCACGCCTGATCTCTAGGAGGGCCTAACAGGCCTCGACATGAATTTCCTAAGCCTTCCTAGGCTTTTTTTTTTTCTTTTTTTTTTCTTTTTTTTTTTCTGCCACATGTTCATCTATCTTTTTTCTCTCATTTATTTTTCACGATATAGAGTTGGATACCTACTGCAGTCAAAGAGTACTAGCATGGCGTTTTGGGATGACGAACGAAATACCCGTCTGTTCTGGCATAAAATGGTTGATAGTTTGAGATGAGCTGCAATTTTTGGGCCACACACGCACGCATACACATACATAACATAATATGACAAAATAATTGGACAACATCTCAGGCTCGTCATGCTGGCTCGCGTCTCTGTGCGAACGATGACTATCACAAGGTCAAGATGGGGCGGTCCATCTGGGCGGGTCAGACGGATGACCAAGGATGCCAGCTGTTGCTTCAGCCAGCCTCATGGTTTCGCCGATCAGTTCTAGACCCTCTGGCTGTAACAGTAGCTACGGCATCTGAGATCATCATGACTCCCCGTGATTTGTGCACCTCGTTCACAGGCCACGCTAGGAACCCCCAGCAGCAGACAACAATGGCCATGTAGCAAATGTAAGGGTACATGCTTCACGCGTAGCCTTACGCGATTGAACCCACAGGTCAAACGTAAGTGTCTGACGGAAGCGCGGAGAGGGAAGCTGACGCATTCAAACGTGGCTGTCTCCGTCTCGAGATGCTGGGTGGAGCGAGATGCAGCCAATGATGATGATAGCACGAAGCTTGTCAGTATACCCAAGTTAGGTAGGGGTGTAAGGGGCCTACGTATCGAGAAGATGAGCCTCCCAGGGCGATCGTTCTCGATGGGCCCGACGTCGACAGGGTACGTGCGCTCGATGGGGCGCCCGGCAGTTGGCGGCGCTAATGAGTCTTGGCGGGCTGCGGGTACTGGCCTCATCATGGGCGTTACGTCGAAGTGCGTCTTGGAGTCGTGCGACCTCTCTGAAATGGTCCGTTGAGAAGAGTGCCTGTTTTGCCGAACACAGAGTCACCCGGACGAACACCACTTTCGGAATCTGAATCTAGCGTCAGGGAAGGAACACAGGTTCAGAACGAGAGTGAAGGAAAGAAAAAATCTTCCATTATGTTGAGTGTGCTATAGAAGGGGTGTTGAGGATGCTTATTACCTAGGTTTCAATGCCGGTTGCGGGTTTCCGCCTGCTGGTCGCGGATGTTTGGTGCGGGCCGGCAGCCAGCCAGCCAGCCAGCTCGGGATGGCGACATGGTGATTGGAAGGTATAGCGCTGCGCCGTTTGGGTTCGTCAGGTCCTTATTTATTTTGCCCCTCCCAACCTTTGCGAGACGTGTTCCAGATAAGACCCAGGGTCTCCGCTGATCTGCAGGGACGAGCGTCGTGAACCTGTCTGTGCCTGGCGTTGACACATTGGGTTTGAAACATTGTCTCGAGGAAGCACGACGGGCAGGTGACGACGGGGCTGATCTTTGGTTCTGGACCTTCTCAGATGTAGATGGAGAGTCCGCCGTCAGATCATGGCATGGCTGTTTAAGCTCTGCGCAGGATAATCACATCGGGCCTACTGCTGCTTGCCTTGGTCGGTCTGTTATCTCCTGGTTGGCGATAATGACATGACAAGCACAGGAGATCACTGGGAACGTTTCGCTCAATCTTGTTAATAACTTGGCGAGACGTGACGTCTGCCTATGTTCAATTCAGGTACCTAAGGTAGCCATAAAAAGTGCCTAGCCACGACACGGATGCAGTCTACCAAGGTACCTCGCAGGGTAGAGCCCATACGATCGCGTGCGCTACCGAGGAGAGTCGCCGCAAATTTATTTGCACGCATTACCTTAGTCTTTCGAAACAGGAACCAACAAGCCGTGCACCTATTTTCGACTCATTTTCTTGACCTCCTCCAACAACTGTAAGGAGTGATACTTGTGTGACCAGTCTCTTGACCCACTCACTGTGACGCCCCACAGCCTCTACCACAACGGGGCAAAATCCTAGCCGGTGCAAAAATGCCTCATATATTACACAGCCCACCCAGTTTTCCAACAACAACTCCCTGTGGTGTAGTTGGCTATCACGTTCGACTGTAATTGTCATCGATTTCCATCGAAAGGTCACCGGCTCGATTCCGGTCGGGGAGATCACCACAAGAAGCTCAGCTTCCCTCTCTTTTTTTCTTTTTTTCCTCTGCATCCTGCACGGGACCTGACCCTCTGGGTGAACCTGCAGAACGTGTTCCATGCTCGGCACATCGCGTGACACTCGATGTGTTCAACAGATCCAGGTTGTGATACTATGCTTGACGTACTCGGTGACTATGCGTGCGCAAAGCACTCGTCCTGCACCTGCCTTTCTTCTCAAATCACAAAGTCCCTTCAGGGTATGAACATTTGGGCGTCTTTTCACTCATGGTTTGCCGTCTCGTAACCTGCATCGCCCTTCAGATCGCGTCTTACTGCCATTTGATGCATGGGGGAAGCAGAGAAACTGCCAGAGTGGCCCGTGGACAGGCGCCAGGCCTCGGTCTTCTCGTCCCAAGTTTCAAAATGCCATGGTATACATCATCAACAACGCATCACTGGCCGGTTCATGCCTCGCCATGTGACCCGTTTCTTCGCATCTTGCAGACTCTTCAGCCCCTGTAGATCCCACTTGGCCGTCTGTCCGTCCGCATAAAACAGATGGACAGCATGTGAAATGAACAGGGAGCCTTGAATCAGACACCTTCGCGGCTCTTTCTGGAATGATAGTAACTACAATGTTCTCGTCAATAGCCACGCCAGAGGCACTCCTCCAAAGAGCCGAACAACTGCCCAGCCTGGCATGGACACTGTCGATGGTGCAAAATGCTGATACCTCCAAGCGTCACCTCCTCTTACTAACAAGTCGGTCATCGAGATTCATGATGAACGAAAGCGAATCAAATGTCTGCAATCAATGACTGAATTGGTCATGTATTATCAAACGAGGGCACGTATGTCCTATGAATTTATATGTACGATGGCCCCGAAACCCCAAAACAAGTCATCCATTCGTAAGGAGCGTAAAAGAGGGCTTGTGCCCCCTCAATAGGTAGGTCATGTGTGGCAAATAAAGATCTAACGTAATACAAGGGGCTCAAGTCGATGCGCCCAGATGTGTGAAAGCCGTGTGCCAATATCGGTCCCGTGGCTTTCCAATGCACAGGATACATACAAGAAGCCCGTCTATCCTCTTAAACTTCGTCGTAATGCCTGGCAAAAATGCTGGCGGAAAAGGTGAATGAGTGTACGGATGAGAAGTGGGTGCGTGGAGATCATTCCTCGCTCAGAAGAGGGCAATAGCCAGAGCAGCTGCGAGGACAATGGCGCTGAACGACATTGACGAAGCACTACCAGGAGCAACCTCGACAGGCTCGGTTGAAGTGGGCTCGGGTGCAGGGACAGTCTCGTTGGCAGCATGAGTGGGAATGGCGGAAGCGTGGGTGAGGGTGGTAGATCCCACGAGAGTGGTCTCGATGTGGACCGACGACAGCGCGCTGGCAGTGGGTGCCGGCACGGGGACGGGGACGGGGGCGCCATCGGAGGGTACCCCGCCGTTGTCATCACCATCGTGGTCATCAGACGAATCCGAGGGAATGGGGACAGGTGCAGCCTCGCTCGTCTCGCCAGGAGCAGGACCAACAGTGTGCTCATCCTCGTCACCCTGTACGGGTTCGCCGGGGATGGGGGCGACGACGGTCGTCGTCGGTACTGGGACAATGGCGGTGGCAATCGATTCAGTAATAGAGATGGCGGTCGTGGCCCGAACCGTGGACGATGAAGAAGTAGAGCCAGCGGCGTCACAAGACAGATCGTACAGGGGCTGGGTGGTCAGATCAGGGCCGATGACACCGAAGCTCGGGTTGGGGGTTCCAGGACTGTTGCGGAACGAGTACCACCAGGTGTTGGTCTCGCCAAACAACGGGCAGCCGACTTCCTGGTAAAAGATCTCGGCGTTTTCGGGCGAGGGGACAGCGTTGCCAACAGTGTCGCCGCTCGTGGGCCAGCCGGTCTCGGTAATCCAAATGGGCTTGCTGCCGACGGCGTTACGGGTGCGCTGGAGAGCACGGTCGAAGAGAGCCTTGCCGTTGGAGATGTCGTTGTCCTGGGTTTCCTCAAAGTATGCGTAAGCGTCGAAGCCAATCCAATCGGACGCATCAATGACGGCCTGGTTACTGCTGTTGTCCCAAGCATTCCAGGTGTCGACGTGGCCTAGAGGGTAGGCGGCAAAAGAAGTGCCCTCGATGACATCCCGGACCTGATTGAAGTAATCTACAAGAGTGTTGGGGTTGGCGCCCGGGTTCTCGTTGGCAGCGATGCCAGTGGGCGAGTTGCGGTACAGGTCCTCGCTGCCGACGGAAATACCGGCAACCAGGCCATCGAGCTGATCGCCATACTCTTCAATGGTACGGCGGAGGGCAGCAATCTCGTTACTGAAAGCCTCTGAGCCGGCGGACGCCCACAGACCGAGCAGGAGGCTGGTGCGGGTGTCAATGGCGGCTTGGATAGCAGCGATGGGGTCGTTGGTCGTGCCGGCCTGCACCATGGTGTACAGACGGGCACTGTTGAATGCTCCGTTGGTACCCTCGAGATTCTGGGCTGTCTCGAATTCGTCGGTGAAATCCTGGAGAGACTTGGGTCGACCATCCGTGAAGACGTTGCCATAGTTGAAGCCTTGGAAGGCAGCTTGAGCCGACTGAACGGCAGCCAAGAGGGCCGCACCGCTTGTGAAGGAACGCATGATGGGGAGTTTTGCGTAGTTCGAAGCTAGCGTCAGCTTCTGATGTGTTGTAGAAGTGCGGTAGTGTCTGTGATGGGGAGGACCGTGAGGTCTGAAAGTTATCTATCACTGCTCGAACGAGAGACGACAGTGAAATCTGAAACAGGCAAGAGAACTGTCCAGAAATTGGTGGGCAGTCTATGAGGGGATGCAAAGGTGAATAAATGCAAGAAATGATAGGATCAGAATCTGGAAGGCGGGAGGATGCTGTCAATGGGCAGAGCACGAAAATAAGAACATCCGGATGACGAAGCCCCAACCAAGGTGGATGGATCCAGCGGAAGTTGACAGAGCCGGGGAAAACAGCTCTCTCGCCAAGAGCCCGCTTGCCGCCATCGCGTATAGTTCAAGCCTGGGCAGTCTTGGTGACCTTGGTGACCTCGATCCTTAGCTGGTTGGAAGGGCATGGGGGCGATGATCAACTGGATGTGGTGCTTCAATGCAGCTCCAAGTCGTTTGTACGGCTTGACGGACACGAGAGAAGTGGCAAAGAGCGACCCCACCCATCCCACCATCTCCATATCGCCCCATCGGTCGAAGCCCCCAAAACAACCTTGGATGGCCAAGAAAAGGCATTGCCCCTTGTTGCTGTGCTGTTGGGGCGAAACATTGACCCAATGGGAGCAAGACGGGTAGGGCACCCTTGCGTTGTCTCTACCAGAGAGCCCAAGAATCGGCGGAGAAGCCGTCCATAGCTCGACCGCAGACGTACTGCGCTGGGAATACGATATCATACAGCCATGTCGTCATTTGTCTGGACAAATAGACCTCCCCCGCATCAGGTCAAGAATCACTATTGAAAGCTCGCCGAGTTTTGACGTTATGAGAGCGAGAACGAGAGCCAAGTGATGCCTGATGCTTCATGAGCTCGACTGATTTGTGGCATGTTTGCCGACTCGAATGAGCGCGAGGTCCGACATTGCGTGAGCAACGGGTAAAACTCCTTGTGCCTGTTGACTTACCAGATCCGGCCTGCCACGCAATTCATCTGTCATGCAGGTACAATAGCGGCTGAACAGACTTTTCCTGGAGGCCGACTCGTCGGCTTGGTCTCTGCGCCAAAGTCGACACTAGAAGATTGTCGAATGGCGATGAATTCACCGGCAGACCATCGCGCCTATTACAGACAATCAGACAACACATAGGCTCCCGGTACATCCGTTAGCCATCATGTTGGCACGCACAGTCACGCTTTGAATGACTTTGAGGCGTCTTTAACTCAAGGTTTCACCGCGGACGGCTCGCTACTACCCGCTTACCGTCCGCCCGTAACCTTGAACGTAATATGCAGCCTTGTCTTTTCAAGGGAAGTGAAGATCGCTCAATTGATGCAGCCTGTCTTTTCAAGTGAAGTGAAGATCGCTCAATTGATCGCTCCTAAGGTTGCATTGGGTATCATTCTGCTTGCTTCACTGTCGTCCCTATTCGTATCGTGTCATCTCGTCGTGCTTGCTCGATCGGACCCTACCATCATCAAACAAATCCTCGTATGCCGCGGATTCCCGCTGACTTCTTTTCTTTCTTGTCGCCGTCTTCCCTCTTCTTACCCTTCTCTTCCTTGCGTATCCGATTCTGAACACCCCCTGCGTTTTGCTGTCAGTGAAACTTCACGCCAGCCTCGGAGGCATACACTCGCCTCGACCGTAGATCCGCTGGTCCGGGCTCGCATTGCTTCCTGAGCCTGCCCCCTCTGTACCCGGCGATGTAGACACTGTGGGAGCTGGCGTTGAAGGTTTCGTGTCGAGCGCCGGTGTCGTGTTGAACGATGATGTTGCCGGGTCGAGATAGTCCGAGTCGGAAAAAACCCGATGCGGCCTTGACCTTACATTGACCGGACTACTGGAATAAGTCGACCCGTCGTCCCCCTCCATGCGGAAAGGGAATTCGTTACGGCCTTGCGACGTAACGGAACCTACCGCCAACTTGCCATCCTCGTATTGGGACTGCAACACGGTAAACCTCCTCATGAGGTTCGTGTATTGCTTCTGCAGCTCAGCCTGTTTTGCTCGACTGGCCGCAAGGGTCCCCTCCGCCGTTGTCTCGTCGCCGGCGGTGACTGTACGCCTAGGTCGTCGCCCTTCCCGCGCCTCTGCTAGTTGCATCGTGAGAGCAGCAATCTGAGACTGGCAGAGCTTCTTGGTCTTTTCGAGTTCTCTCTCCTTGGATGCAAGCTTGAGGTCTAGTATCTCAGAGCGATTGTCGGACTCGGCAGCTGAATTCATCGCCGTCTGTCTCTCTACCTCCTTGGCCTGAAGATCACGCTCTGACATGGTGAGTCTGTCAACTTCAGCCTTGAGACGAGAGATCTCGGCTGCCTCGATCTCAACAGATTGCATGTTCTGCCTTGAGTTCAGTTCCTTTACCTCGGCGTCGCACACAATCTTGCGGAGCTTCTCGCCCTCCTGCTTTGCGCTCAGCAGCTCTCTACGCAAAGACTCCTCTGTCGTCTTGGTCTTTTTCGACTCTTCCCTCAGTGTACGAAGCTTGGCTGACAGGTCAGATTCCCCATTTCTTGGCCAGAGTTCGACTCCTTTCAGATTCCTTTCTGATCTGCATCTCCGCCTTCTTCGCATCATCAAGTCTGTTTCTCAGGTTGCGGTTCGCCAGGATAAGGTGCTGCGCCTCGGCTTCGCTTGCAGCTTCGCGAACTTGCTTTCGCCGCAGCTCACCAATGTGTGCCATATGCTGCTGCTTCAGATATCTTTCAAAGTTCAGATCGTTCTGCAGAAGCATGACCTGCCGCTGCAAATAGGCTGATTGTGTTTGTGTTCCAGCAAGAGATAGTGGCGACGGGACCACTGGCGCGGGCGTTGGTGCATGGCTCGGGACGTGACTTGCCAGGCCTTCTGGAAAAGAATCGGCATGACTTAGAGCCAACGATGGCACGCTATCATTCGCCAGAGATTGATGCAAGCCTGACTTGATGGCCTTGTTGGATTGTATCATATCTTGCAGGTGCGTATGCGAACTGGACACAACAAGATGAGGAGGGAGTGTCGGGCTGTCTCCGTCAACTCCGCGGCTCCGCGTATCCGTGGAATCTTTGTTAGAAAGATGACTTGATTGAGATGGCTGCCGCTGGACTGTCGACTGTATCCTGCTGCTCGCCTGCGATTCGCGCCCCGAGTCCTGCGTATTTCTCCAGCTGTCAATATTCGAGTCTGGACCTGAACCACTGAGAAGTGCAGGATCAAGGCCTTCGGACCCATCACTAAAGAAAGAACTGGCAGCCCCTGCAGCCTGAGCTGCAGGCATGAGCTCACTTGAGACTGTGTCGGTGGGCACTCGGAGAGCCATGCAGTCAGCCACCAGCTCAGCCGGCTCGCAGTTGAGCCAACGCCCAAGGTCAGTTTTTTCCGAGTCTATCGTGAGAGTATAAAAGTTGGGATGCAAGAGGTGACTTTGTCGAAACCTCTCTGATCGATCGCGAATCTCGGTCGGCTGAACGTCGACCTCGTCAGACTCGGCGGCATTGGCATGCCTGAGGTAGCGCTGGGGCTTTCTGATATAGTCTGTAAAGTTGAGAGGGTACATTCCATACAAGATGGTGAAGTAGCTTGCGAGATGGCGAATTTCGAGATCGTCCGACTCCGCACAGAAAGTCGAGGCTTCCCATCCGGAAGCGGATGTGAGGCTTCGTGCGTCATTGTCCTCCGAAGCTGCCTCAACAGTGCCAGTGCGCTCATTGTCCCAGAAAAGCAGTCTGGCGTAGATGTTGAACAATATCGGCAAAAAAGGAACAAGTGAGCTCGGCATGTGAGGGAGGATCATAATCAGAGTCGTGATCGCTAGAGAAACTGCAGTGGTCGAGGTATCGTGTTGGAGGCAACGAAGTAAGTTTCCAAAAAGAGGTGTTTGTAAGATCAAATGCAAGTGTGGAGGTTGTTTCTGAATGAAATCGCACAGCATCCTCGCTGATCTGCTCCGATACTCGCTCTTAATAAAATATTTGTCGATGAGTAGAAGGAAGTCCTGGCTTTGGTCAGCAGGTCGCTCCTAGATGGTTGTCCGAAAGATCGAAACGGACCTTGGGTTTCTTTTTGCCCCACGCAATCAAGCCTTCTCGCATGGGACGTTCGGTGGACCCTCCTCCAATATCGCTCTCGTCGCCCTGCGAGGATTCGATAGGACGATGCTTGTCCATCCAGGCGAGATAGAGGCGTTCAGCAAAGGGATTTACAGCACCGTCTGCCTTGTTTTCTTGCTCATAGACATCTCCCATCATCAGTAAATCCATAGTGCCTGCGGCCGACTCCTCCAGTAGTCCTTTCTCCTGCACAGCGTTCATCTCGACAGATTCGCCCATGATGTCCCACCAGTGAAACAGTCGGGCCGGAGTGCGGATCACGGTCACGAAGCGGCGGAAGATAGCGATGAAGCTGGCATATCGTGACGGCTGGCCTGCAACGTGGCTATTGTATATGACCTGCAGTTCATCGTGCAGCTTCTCGGAGGTTTGATCGTCAAATTTCTCATGCTTGTCAAGGTACGCCTCAATGGCTTGAGTGAGCTCGTCCGGGAGGGGGAGTGTCGGCGCATTGCTGTAGTAGGCGTTGATTGCCTTAGAGAGGTCTTTCAAGGAGCTACGAATATTCTTGTTAGCCTGTGCGTACCACATGCGTGTCCTACTCATCCGGAAAACCAAGCTTGTGGTCGATGATGGGTCTTGGTGAAGCTCTGTCACAGCTCGAAGCTCCAGGGGGGCGAGGCGGAATATCGCGCATGTGCGGTAGGTAGGACTGGAATATGAAAACCAATACGACTTACCCAGAAGACGCCATGGTACAGGTTTCACGGCCTCATAGGGCCGGCTGGCAACGAGAAGACTGAGGTCGTATGTGCGTGGTCCGAGGGGTGACAGGCAACAGTTAGACGACAAATCTGCTGATGTTGCAGGGCAGCTCGGCAGGTCGCATGGACCACCCAGAGCTGGCCACTCTAGGGCCGCTAGGCCAGGCCAGGCTTCCGCGGGCGGGGCTACGAGTGCAGGCGAGCAGGCACGGGTGACGGGCCCGGTGGAGCGCGATGAGCTGCAGGCAAGGGCAGGTGCCGGCGCTCCACATTACCCACCCGTCCTTGCCGCAGGCGGCCCAGTTTCTGTAGCTGTCTCAGCCCGTCGCGGTGCAGTATGAGCTCACTTGGGTTTACCCCGCATTCTGAGTAGCAATGTTTGTCGCATGACCCTAGAAACACACCACTGGACCGCCGGGGTAGTGCATCTCACGCTGTAGGAGGTGGGTCCTGGCATGACGGAAGGCACCACCGATCCCTGAGCTACTGATGCTGCTTCTGCTGCTTGCTGTCGCTCTCTTGCTGGAACAGACGGTGCAGCACCGTTGCCGTTGGTCAAGCTTCCCCTCGAATGCATTTCGGAGCTGCGAGGAGCTGTCCTAAAGCTCAGCTATTACGCCTTTGGTAGATCTGCCCCTCACCCCAGGTCACGGGGAGGTCACGGGTCTTCCACTCTCGACTCGATCTTCTTTCCTACTTCTTCCCCTCCTCTCCAGCCATTACTGCTCTTCTTCCTTTCCCCCCCTCCCATTCCATCATCATCACACACTCATCAACTGTCTGTTCTACTGCACCCAACATCTCGAGCTACTATATACCCAATTGACGCGGTATATCTTTCCTGAAGCCCTCAAGGTTTTGACACACTTCCCCCACTGCAACACTCATCAACCCCACCAAATACCGGCACGATGGCAACCAAGACTTCTGCAGTGGCGGACGAGCCGATTGAGGTTCTGTTCGCCCTGCACCCCAACTTCAACATCACTGACTTTGCCGGTCCTCTCGAGGTCTTCGCGACTGCCAACTACGAGAATGACAAGTGTAAGTGCTCAGCTCAATCCCCTGACAAGCAAGTGTGGCTGTCAAAACCCTATCCCTCGGCCCCTCTCTCGAACCCCGCATTCGTGACGATCACCTCGCACACAACGGCCAACCATTAGCTAACTGTGCGTCCAGCTACCACGGCATTCGAGTGCACCGTGGCCGCCGCCGAGCCCAAGGTCATGTCTGAGCAGGGCGTCTTCATTGGCTCTCAGATGTCCTACAAGGAGGCACACGAGCGCCTGAATGACTTCGATGTTCTCGTCGTTGTCGGCGGCGGCACTGATGCCGTCATTAAAAGTGAGGCTGAACCCCTTCAGCTTATCGATGCCTACTCCGAGCTTCAGCAGAAGGACACCATTCGCGAGCGTACCCTTCTTTCCATCTGCACCGGCTCTCTCTTCCTGGCCAAGCAGGGCATCCTCGCCGGCTTGTCCGCTACCACCCACCCCGATTTCCTCACTACCTTTGAGAACCTCTGTAGCAAGTCTGCGCAGAAGACTCTCGGCGAGCGCACCGACGTCATCGAGAGCGCTCGCTACGTTGTGAACAACCTCCGCTTCGACATTGGCGACGAGGACGAGAACCCCTACATTCGACGTACATCCGACGCTGGCCGTCGCCCCTCCAATGCCCGGTATGCCCCGAATATAACCTCACGACATAGGTTCGCGTACTAATAGCTACAATAGAAAGGGCAGCATTTCTTTCCAGGGCTCAGGAAGACGCGAATCCGTTGCTCGTCGCGCAGCGATGCGCCTCGGCGGTCTTCGCGTTGTCACGAGCGGAGGGGTCAGCGCTGGTATAGATGCGGCTCTATACATGGTCAGCGCTCTCATCTCGGAGGAGTCGGCTACCGAGGTGGCCCGCGTGATGCAATGGAACTGGGTTAAGGGTGTCGTCGTTGACGGCCTTGATGTGTAGATTATAGACAGCGAGGCGAACAAGGAGCAGCCCCAAGAGGCTCGCTATGGGTATGGTTATATTTTTTGAGGGATCTTAACGCCTTCTCTGTTCACTATAGGAATGAATGCTTGGCTTCAGATCTTTTTCTTTCACTGACGATGACCTTTCGTTGTGATGCCTGATCCACAACGAACACCTGACTGACGTCCTTCTTGTAAGACAGCCAATCGAAGCATCTCTTGCTCGGCACCTGGGCCATGTTTCCACCGAAGATTGATGTCACTCGAAGCCTCATGATCAGGCAATCGAAGTGCATCGGGCATTAGATCCTGCTATCCTGAGTTTTGCAATGTCAAGACAGCTCGTCGCAGTCTGACCAAAAGAGGTGGGGTGAGAGGGAAGCACGCTTACATAACCGGATTTTCGTGGCACGTTGGTGGGTCCCACTGAACCAATCAACGCGACCGACAAAGACTCCCTGAATTTTTGGCTGTCTGGATCACATCGAAGCAGCCGGTTTTCAGGCCGTCGACGTCGTGCTGAACACCTCATCCATCACAACATGTCGCAACCAGCACAAGCGCTAGCCAAGGCGCCTTTCCGCCTGGGAAAGAAGAATGTTTTCCTGTACGCATTGTTCCCACGTACCCTCTGCCCCTTCTCCAGCTTAATCTGACGGACCTGTGTAGCCCGAACCATGTAATCACCTTCCACCGAAAGGACCATAACCCCCCAAACTGGGCCACCTTCGAGGTCCCTCTGCGATTCAACAAGTTCGACATTCGCGACTACCTTTGGAACCTCTACGGCGTCGAGACGACCGCCGTCCGCAGCTGGGTCAAGATGCCCCCTGTTGAGCGCAAGCTTGACGGACGCGGCGCGGCCTACCACCCCAAGTCGATCAAGTTCATGACCGTCGAGCTCACGCGGCCGTTTGTGTGGCCCGAAGTACCCAAGGACCTGGAGCCCTGGAACAAGAAGCTCTGGGATGCGCGCGAAAAGCGCCAAGCGGACCAGAACATCACGAGGAACGAGCAGGCATCGGGCAAGCTGAAGTACCCCAGCAAGGAGCCCATGACCAACCACCGCAAGGCGGTGAAGGAGAGGGCGGAGATGCTGCTAAAGGGACAGGCCGAGTGGAAGACGGATGCGGTGCTGGACGAGAAGTGGGAGAAGCAGGCGTGATGGAGGCCGGGGATGTGGCGGGCGAGGGGGAGAAAGATGTATCATACTGTCCATGCAAGGCGTGGGTTGTACAACACGTGTTTCAAGCTTGGGAACATAAAATAAGGCGATTTTTTTCTCGAACCGTCCTCCTCACTTATCGTGGGGTGCTCTTTGGGGCATGTGTGGCAGTAGCGGCCTCGAATGAGGTGACCCATTGGTTCCGCTCTTGGAAGCGAAGGGCCTCGTTTCCCCAAGTCCACCACCCGGCTGTCAGGTTCCTCGCAAACACCTCGAGACCAACGAACCCTTGTGGGAGCAGGTCGTCAAAGACGGGGCGGAGATTAGGCTTCCTTGAGTGGATGTCCGGTACTGCGAGCAATACCCTCTGCGGTACCTTGGTTCGGCTTCCAACTCGTCTGGCAATGAGCAGCCGCTCCCAAGGCTTCCTCCAGGTCGAATCGAGATCAAACATTGGCTTCCCCGTTGACGTGATCTTGAGCCACGTCCATTCGGTGACAAGCTCCAGCCCCCATTTGGTGAGCATACCTGTGCCACTGGCGGTCAACAGCTCAACGAGGCTGGGTTTGTTGGTGACCCAGACGGCGACAAGTCCATCTGCGGCCAGATGAGATGCAACGGGAATTTGGGACAGCAGAGATCTTGTCGCCGCTACGTTCAATGCGGTGGCATAGCCATCGCGTTTCCGCTTCACGGATCGATTCGGCCAAGGAGGATCAAGAAGTATGAGATCAAAGGATGGCGCCTCTTCGATGAAATTTCCTCTCTTTTCCTCTATGGTACCGTCAAAATAGTGACTTTTGATTGGGATGAAATGAGTCAATTCGTCTTCAGACGGAGCCACAATCTCGTTCTGCCGCGTGATCCGAGAAAGACAGAATGGGCCCGTGTGATGCTCCAACAGCACGTCGAGCGCCCCCTTTACGGCTGCCCCTGTCATGAGATCTGCCAATAAAGCCGAGGGCTCCTGGCCATGACGTCTGCTGTCGGCATCCTTAGGTTCTGGCGTCGGGAAAGGGGCTGAGATGGGCACGCCCGAGAGGATGCGGCGTGGTGGGGCTTGGCCCGGCAGGACCTGGGCTTCCTCGAGAGATCTTGGTATATCCAGGAGAAAGACAGACTTCTTCTCATCCTGAAATAAGATACAAGACCCGCTGTCGAGCTTATTCGAGGCTAGCATCGACTCTGTCGCCGACATTTAGTGCAACAGTCAAACACCCAGAGGAGCTGCTGAAGACAAGTTGCTGGTGGTATTGCCATCCGGTGGTCGTAGATACTAATTTGGGAATCGAAAACCAGAATCAGATTGTCAAACACACAAGCTTGATGATAAAAGTCTAGCTGCATTACGTAAGAGGAAATGTTTGTTTGTGGGTATCTTTCGTTCAAGCATGCTCTCTAGAAGGCAATGAAGGTGCCCAACCGTGCTTCGTTCTCTCGAGCGAACTGAATCCAGCATTCTGTATCCACTGTTGTACTTGCCCAAAATACCTGCAAGAACTGCAGTGACGTGTTGTTGAACCATAGTCCAGTGGTGGACAGCGAGGTGAGGTATAGCTGCTCAACTATAGCTTGCCTCTGCTTGTCGCCGCGGCACTCTGTTCCCGCAATGAAAAGGGGGAAGAAAAGGTCATGTGAAAGCGCCTGCGTAGGCCCTGCGAGTACAGAGTGCATTTCCTGCAGAAGAGGGTCCAGTGTTGTGCTGACAAGGTTCGAAACCTTGTCGGCAGGTGCAAATGCTTGGTGGCTGTAAATGAGGCTGGCGTAGTGTGCCTTCAGCACTGCATCAAGACTCTGTTGTTTAAAGACTTCCTCTGCAGAAAAAGGACAGGAGGTAGAGAGAGTATTGTAGGCCTCATCGATTTTTCTGCGCCACTGTGCCATGTTCACCTCAGGGCCATGTCGGCATTGCATTTGCAGAGCACGATGTCGTCTACGTTCCTCGGTTGTGATCTCGTAGACGAGCCCTGTGAAAGCCCAGAAAGAGCCATCATAGATAGACCGCAGAGGTGGCTCGTGCGATGCACTTGTTCCTTGGCTGAACACTGAGATGTTACTCAGTGTCTCCAGATCAGCAACCTCTTTCAGCAGAAACCTCTGGACGGGGTCGAGAGGCTGCAGATTTTCATTCGGTAGATGCTGAAGATCAATTATGGTACGACACGCTCGCAAGTGGATATTCCAATTCTTTGATCCTGGGATGAAAGCTTCGGAATAGCAAAGTGCAACCATTGTCGCGAGAATCTCCTGAACCGCCGAGGTGGGCGGGTGAGCTACTCGTGATGTGCCACAAGAATGCAGCTCTCTGCGCATCCTCTGGTTCAGCCCCCGAAGCGCCTCGTCGTGGAGCTGTTGGTGGATACGACGGAAACGAGCCTTCTGATCTGGTGTTTTAGCTGAAGCGATAGATAGATAGGTGAGCGGCAGCCAGGCTGCCGATGGACAAGTGGAGGCAAGTCGGATGCTGCGCGTTGTTCCTGATCATCTGCCTCCACGGACTCTACGGAGGGTCGACCCATGTCAAACGGGGGACGACTTGGGCCTGAAAGTGGCGGAGAAGGCTGCCAAACAGTGCGGAGGAAGAGTGAGAATTGATGAGCCGTAGGTCTTGTGTCGGCAGGAGCGCTGCGGGGCTATGAGTGTGGAGTTGTCTGTTGACGGCATCAGACGGCGAAACATCAGACTCGAATGTTGACTTCAGATCGCGATATTTATTTGCTGAAACATCAGATCCACTGGCGGGATCATCGAGGACCGGTTTGCGCTTGCCAGAGAACTTGCCCCTGCTGGCAATCCCTTGATTCCATCGCACATTGACGGGCCCAAACCCGGGGCATCTCAGTTCTCGACTCTTGCACTTCAGACATGTCGGCAGGCTCCGGTCACATCTAATGCGTCGTTCAACGCAGCATCGACAATCTGATATGCCAGCCTATGTGTTCTGTTTGACGACTCGCTCATTTGGGAACCGACCTTTTGATGCCGACCGACGATTTGATGGCAATGGATGAGGGGGCTAGATCTCTCCCGTCCCAGGGCTCGGCTTGGGCGCGGTAATCCTCGGCAAGAGCGACATCGCGAAGAGGCTCCCTTCTCCGGAAGACCCACCTCCACAGCGGACTTTGGCCAGTCAGAAGATCGCTAGATGCGAATGACGTCCTCTCCACCTGTGCACCTCCAAAAGCCGAGTGTCGCTGCTTTTAAAAACTGTCGAGGCTGAAAGAACTCCCGGGCTGATTAAACCATTCGATACCCGCACTATGACTAGAACGGCGAGAAGGCTAGCCTCAATAAGGCTACCCGACCTGGAAAAGCCCTGTAACCACCGCTGGAGCCTCTCCAGACCTACAGGCCCCGTTGCAAGCCGGGCGTCCCTCCCATTAGTTGGCAGTCCTCTGCTACCGAGATTCCATGTGTGTGGCCGATGTTTCTGACAATTCGACCCTTCGCCGACGATCCTTAAACCCTCGAAACCTTGAACCTAGACGCCTACCTGGACGCTGCACATCGCCAGAAACCATTCTCTGGAACGCAACTCTGGAGATGCAGTCTCGGTAGCAACCGAACCCCTCCGACACGTGAAGCCCACGAAGGCGCGTACGACCATCTCGAACACTGAACCCCTCCTCCCGAACCTGCACCACCATCCCAGCCCCGCGACCAGCCATAGATGCCTTCCGCCCTCCTGGGACATGCCCCTCCAATGGCCAGCGCAAACGACGTCGTGCTGGCTAGAGCAGACAAAAAGAACCCGCCCCTGTGCCCAACCGATGACGACGACACCATAGCCCTGAGGAAAAAGACCAGAAGCTTTGATTATTTATGGCGCTCCGGCGTTGCTGGCGGTCTTGCTGGGTGTGCCGTATGTATCTTGTCTCTACTCCTGGCTCGATTGCCTTTATCTGACTCCAGCTGCAGGCCAAAACCGTCGTTGCACCTCTCGATCGAGTGAAGATCCTGTTCCAGGCGAGCAGCCCTCAGTTCGCTAAATACACTGGCTCATGGTTCGGCGTCGTGACCGCCATGCGAGATATCCACCACCAAGATGGTGTCACAGGCCTCTTCCGCGGGCACTCGGCTACTCTTCTTCGAATCTTTCCCTACGCCGGCATCAAGTTCCTCGCCTACGAGCAGATTCGCTCCGTCGTTATCCGTAACCGCGACCAGGAGACGCCTTGGCGCCGCCTCATCAGCGGATCCATGGCTGGCGTAACGTCCGTCTTCTTCACATATCCCCTCGAGGTCATCCGAGTCCGCCTCGCGTTCGAGACAAAACACAGTCACTCCAGTCTCACCTCCATCTGCCGACGTATATATTCCGAAAACTTCTCCTCGAAACCATCACTAGCGACAGCCACGACGGCCACTACAGCCTCCGGTATCGCGACGACACCTTCAGCTGCCGCAGCCGCACTCACGCCTCGTTCTGGCCTCGCCAACTTCTACCGAGGCTTTACCCCTACACTGCTGGGTATGCTACCCTACGCCGGCATGTCTTTCCTCACCCACGACACGGCCGGTGATTTCCTCCGCAGCCCCCGCCTAGCCGCCTACACCACGCTCCCAAAGCCGGAGAATTACCCCACCGGCAAGCCCGCGCCTCTCCGCTCATGGGCAGAGCTTCTTGCCGGCGGCGTCGCTGGTCTCGTCTCGCAGACTGCGTCTTACCCGCTGGAGGTCATCCGCCGGCGGATGCAGGTCGGCGGCGCTGTCGGCGACGGCCACCGCATGCGCATAGGCGAGACGGCGGCCCTCATTTTCCGGGAACGCGGTGTGCCGGGTTTCTTCATCGGTTTGACGATTGGCTATGTCAAGGTGGTCCCTCTCGCGGCAGTCAGCTTCTACACGTATGAACGTGTCAAGGGGTGGTTCGGCATTCTCTAGAGGCGGGGAGCATAGACAAGACATGGGGCGAGGTGGCTGTTTTCGTGCGTTGGGATCAAGGCGTTGACGGATATACAAGCATTGTGGTTGGGCATGCATCTCTCGTTGATATCATGGGTGTTCTTTGGCCACTGGGAAGGGCACGACCTGAGTGTCTTGGATTAGACTGCGGAAGCATATATCAATATGACTAGATATCTTTCATCTGTGCTGTTATGTGCCCCTTCTATCGACACACCCTGTCCACGGCGTGATTGTACACAAAACGCCCAGAAATCATGGCTCTGATTGTTACGTGGTGTTCCTCTATGAGACTTCTGTACATGTTGTTTTACAAAGTGGCGATATGCATAGAATGCAACTATCATACAGATCCCCACTCTAGTCGTCTAGTAATCCTACAGTCCAGTGGACAATCCTGTCCACACCATGCCCATTGATGGCACTGACGGGGATGGCAGTGACCCGCTCCGTCCAGGCCTCCTCAATGCCGCTCGGATGCGGCTTGACGCCGTTTTTGATGTCTTCCAAGTAGGCCTGCAGCTCCTTGAAGTTCTCCTGCGTCTCTGGCTTGTCGCCCTTTGTCGCAACGACATACCACGGTTTCGAGGCAATGTGCAGCCCCGAGACGCGCTCCGGCTCAGCCGGGGCGTCGGCGACCATCATGACGGGGTCGCTGAAGCGGCCCTTGTACTTGGGCTGCGCGGACTGCTCCTCCTCGATCTCCCAGTTGATCTTGGCTTCGGCCTCGCGGCTGCGCTCCTCATCCTCGCGCATCCTCGCGTAGAGGCCGACCTCGTTCCACAGAGCGTCGAGCGCGGCGACGGCGTTGCCGGCCGAGAGGTCGATGACAAAGGCCAGGACGCCGGCGCGCTCGACGTGGCGCAGAAAGGCGATGCCGAGGCCGCGGTCGAGGTGGGCGCCCTCGATGAGGCCGGGAATGTCGGCGATGGTGAAGCGCGTGCGCGCCTCGGCCTGCTGCTCGTGCTCGTCGGCCGGGGGGACGTCGCTGTTCTCCGTCGAGGGCGCCCGCTTGAAGGAGCGCATGACGGGGCGGCCCTTGTAGCTATCGAGCACGACGGTGCCAATGTTGGGCTGCAGCGTCGTGAAGGCCCAGTTTCCGACGCGGGTGCGGGAGTTGCTGAGGGCGCGGAGGAGGGTGCTCTTGCCGGCGTTGGGGAGACCGACGAGGCCGACGTCGGCGAGGAGCTTCAGCTCAAGCTCGACCTCCATGGTGACGGCGCGTTCGCCCTTTGTGGCGAAGAGGGGGCGCGGGTACTCGCGAGAGACAAAATGCGGGTTGCCGAGACCGCCAATGCCGCCGGCGGCGAGGAGGATAGGCGTAGGCGTCGGGCGGGAGAGGTCGATGTTCAGGGGTCCAGGCGGCTGGTGGTAGTAACGCTCGCGGCGCGGGGCCTTGGGGAAGACGAGGCTCTTGATCTCGCTCCTGGCGGCGCCGGGGTAGACGAGGAACTTTTCGCGGTCGGGATCTTCGGGCTCGGGGTCGTCCTCCACGTCTGTTTCCTTCTGCTTCGCTGCCGACTGTACATCGTCGTCGATCTCTTCGCCGTCCTCTGCACGAAGAAGTTCGCGCCTGGCAGCCTCGGCAGCCTCCTCCTCCCGCTCGCGCTTTCTCGTCTTCCATGCTTTCCGCTCGTAGTACAGGGCGCGGCGATAGGTGATGTCCTCAGCGACGGGATCCTCTCGGCTGATCTCTCGCAGGATGGTACCTACGGGTACCGTGATGATGATATCCTCACCACGCTGGCCCGCCTTGGCACTTCCCTGGCCGTTCTTCCCGCGCTCTGCCCGTATAAAGCGCTTTCGAGCCAGCTTATGCAGAGAAGTCTCGCCATGTACGGCCTGGATGTAGATGTTCCCGCCGTGGCCACCGTTGCCGCCGTTTGGAGGTCCTTCGGGCAGGAACATGTCGCGCAGAAACGAGATGCAGCCATTGCCGCCAGCGCCGGCGTAGAGCGTCAGGGACGCCTTGTCAGCGAAATTCGGGGCCGCATAGTCTTCGGGTGCCGGGTTCAGGCGCGACGATGTCGATTCTTGGGCGACGTGTGTAGAGCTGTGGCGACGGGGAGGGTTGCTCAGGGTCTTCGCGATGGATCGGGGGACATTGGTTGTAATCGACGTGAAACAAGAAGGATACAAGAAGGGAAGAAATAAGGAGTGACTGCCAGTCGAGCACCTGGAAGCCATGGCAGCTTCTTCGGAGGTTTGGCGAGCAATCAGTCGTGCAGTGCTTGGGCTTGACGATGGCCAGGATCGAAATTCTGGTTCAGTTCTGTTTCCCACGGACTGGGCGTGAGCATAAAGTCGCGATAAGATAAGAATGATCCACCTGTCAAGTGCTTAACAGCGACTTCATCCGGCGACTTCCCACGACCATCCATGAATGCGACTAAATAAACGAACTTGACGATCGGAAAGTATTCGTCCAGTCGATTTTTTGCCAATATTTGATTCTAGTCGGCCACTGCTGTGGTGGCAGGCTGCTGATCGCAGTCAGAGGAATTGAGGGTCTCTCATGTGCGTGAGCGAGCACCATATGCTTTTTGTGTTTCGAACATCACATTGCTGCATAGAGTCGATTGCCAAGCCTGGGGTGCTGTCACCAAAGAAGATTCGCATTGTTGGAGCTGCGGCCTATCTGAATGTTATCAACATGGTACTCTAGCTGCCAGCCTACCGTCGATGACCGTAGACCAGCCAAGGCACTCATGTTCGATCGCGAAAGGACGTTCATGGTGGCCTTCTCCACACCTCTGAAAGATCGCACGCGATGCCGCATCAAGCTGAAGGTATGGCCGTTGCAGCCCTCCGCTTTTGGGATTCGAGGGAGGTGATTGAATCCACCTTGCTCAAGTGCCCTGGATTGAGCAGAGACGCCAGCGACTGGGGATAGTGCGTGAAGGATAAGCCATCTAGGTACTCGGCCGCGCGAAACGATGCACCCTTGGTATTGTGCTAGATTGGGATGAGGACGCTTCCGTAGCATCTCGCAAACAGCAGTTCTTGCAGTATTGGTGTCAGCTGACGTTGTGGTGTAGAGCATAGACGGCAGCATTTATGCCAACAAGTTTGACAATTTCACGTAGTAGGGTGCCGGATCCTGTGCAATGGAGGCGTCAGTGGGTAAGAGGGGTTGGTAATCCTTGAGGGCAATGGGCGTCATGTTTTGGACATGTTGTATAGAGGAAGGCGCGACTCGGCGGCAGGGCGACGTAGCCTGATAAAGGCACCCATCACGACGGAAAACGACAGCGCAGTACCTAGACAAAGACAAGTTTTCCATCGACGAGTTTAAAATTTTCGCGGGCCATCAGCCCTTCCATTGCACTGGTCATCGGTCGAAACACCGTAATGGAGGTGGTTACTGTAAAGCATCCGTCCGTTCGGGGAGCCGGCCAAGCGCCTGCACCAAGGAGCAGACATGCGCTGAGGGCCCGGTTGCATGCGGCCGCAAACGCCGATTTCATCAGCAGCCTCAGCTCGTGCTGACATTGGGTCCTCAACACCTCTCGTACGGCTCCGCCACTGCCCACTGCAACCAACCTAACCACTCTGGGGCGATTTAAACCGCAGGTGCAGCACTTGCTTTTTTCGCGATTCCGGTCTTCGAGATTGGAGTTCACCGATCCATGATCCATACTCATCTCTGATTTTTTGACCTGACGGGACGTCTCTCTCTCACCATGGATTCTATCTTCCGCAAGGTTGAGCGCGGCATTGACGCCATCTTTGGCGACGAGCGACACTCCCATACCAAGTTCGGCCACGAATGCCACGAGCACCATCCTACTCATCATGCATCCAACCGCTATCAATCCTTCGCCCCTCAGTCCACTGGCAATGCAAAGTGGTATGTCGACGGCTGTTCTTACTTCTGGGCTGTCTCCGAAGCTCTCGAAAGTGCGTACATTACCCCTCTCTCCGATGGATCCGGCACACTCACTGACTCTGTCCTCGTCCTCCCCAGATGCCCGTGAGAGCATCTACATCCTTGACTGGTGGCTGAGCCCCGAGATCTATCTTCGCCGACCCCCTGCTGCCAACGAGCGGTACCGACTTGACAATATGCTCAAGGCGGCCGCCGAGAGGGGCGTCAAGGTCAGCATCATCGTCTACAGAGAGGTCGAGGCTGCGTTGACGTGTAAGTGATTTGACGATGCATGCGTGCAAGCTTCTTATGCTGACGCCTCTTCTTCTTCTCCTTCGCAGTGAACTCGGCTGTAAGTTTCTGGGTGTTTTCCATCAGCTTGACACCACTGACATGCCGCACAGCACACGAGGAAGCATTTGGAAGGCCTGCACCCCAACATCAGCGTGTTCCGCCACCCCGACCACGTGCCCACAGGCTACGACATTCAGAAGGAACTCGGCCAGAGCTTCTCCAACATGACGCTGAACACAGCAACCCTTTCCAAGGTCTCTGGCGATGCTCTCAAGGCCATCTACGGCACGGCCACCGACGGTGTCGTTCTCTTCTGGGCTCACCACGAGAAGCTGTGCCTCATTGACCGCAAAGTGGCGTTCATGGGTGGACTTGATCTCTGTAAGCAGAGAAACATGTCCGACCGATGACCAGAATGCTGACTCGGACACAGGTTTCGGGAGATGGGACACGAACAGTCAGCCGAGACTTGAGCACCACAGTACTACCTCCTGCTGACATGCTGCAGGCCATCCGATTGCAGACTCCCACCCCGGCAACCTGGATGCCATTGTTTTCCCCGGCCAGGACTACAACAATGCTCGTGTCTATGACTTTGCCGACGTCGGCAACTGGAATCAAAATAAGCGTGAGGCAGACATCCCTCTTTTACACCCGTGCGGTATTGACCATTGCTAGTGGACCGCACCAAGAGCTCGCGTATGGGATGGTCGGATGTCAGCCTTAGTCTGAATGGTCCGGTCGTGGAAAGTCTGACAGAACATTTCACTGATCGATGGTCAGTTGTACGGTCGCAGTCCACTCAACCTAGTGACTGACCCTTGTACAGGAACTTCATCTTCGACGAGAAGTACACCCACAAGAACCCCGGCAAGTACGAGAGAATTGAGTTCAAGCCTCGCCACAGCCATCTGGGCTTCCATAGGAGATCCGGAGAGCATGAGCGCGGAGGCTTCCTCAAGCAGGACCCCAGCCAACTCCTGGGTGGTCTGTCAGGCCGCTTCAGCAAGGGTGTCAACAAGTTCATGCACGACGACAGCAGCAGTGATGAAGAGAAATCATCAGAACGTCCTCATCGTGAGAACGAGCTTGCCAATATTCAACTGACCAGGAGGTGAGTGCTCAATGGCTGCCCACGGCTCGAGGCCTAGCTGACATGGACAGCTGCACTAAATGGTCGGCGGGGCACGCCACCGAGCATTCTATTGCGAATGCCTACATTGACGCCATTACAAACGCCCGTCATTTTGTTTACATTGAGAATCAGGTATGGCACCGACAAATTTAATTGACCGTGATTGCTGACCTAGCTCCAGTTCTTCATCACGGCCACTTGCGATGAACAGCGCCCCGTCAGCAACAAGATCGGTCGCGCCATGGTGGACCGCATCCTCCGTGCTCATGAGGCCGGCGAGAACTTCAAAATCATTGTCATTATGCCTGCGGTCCCTGCGTTCGCCGGTGACCTCAAGGCGGACGATGCGCTGGGCACGCGTGCCATCATGGAATTCCAGTACAAGTCCATCAGCCAAGGAGGCTACAGCATCCTGGAGACCCTCCAGAAGGAAGGCGTCGAGGATGTCGGTCGCTACATTCGATTCTACAACCTCCGAAGCTACGACCGTATCAATGTGTCGTCGACTATGAAGGAGGCCGAGAAGCAGAGCGGCGTGTCGTACGAGGACGCGAGAAAGGAGCGCGACGACGCTCTGGGCTCGGGATACGCCCCCTACGGCGAGCAGCAGAGCCAGGGCCAGGGACAGTACGAGCGTTACCAGCAGGCAGCCGCCCAGCTAGACGACTCGACCTGGGACAGCGTATCGGCGTGCTACATGAACGTCGGACCTGACCTGCGCTCCGTTCCCTGGAAGGGCGACCCCGAAGCCGAGATTTCGGCCTTTGTCACGGAGCAGCTCTACGTGCACACCAAGCTGCTCATCGCCGACGACCGGCTCGTCATCTGCGGCTCGGCCAACCTCAACGACCGGTCGCAGCTGGGCTCGCACGACTCGGAGATTGCCGTCGTCATCGAGGACCCCGTCACGGTCGACTCGTACATGGACGGCGCGCCGTACGCCGCCTCGCGCTTCGCCGCCAGCCTGCGCCGCCACATCTTCCGCAAGCACCTCGGCCTCCTGCCGCACCAGCGCTGCGACAGCCCCGACCCCCACGGCAACTGGTCGCCCGTCGACCGCGGCCTCAACGCCTACGACTGGAACTCGCCCGCCGACGCCCTCGTCCGCGACCCCATGACGCGCAACTTCTGGAACCTCTGGGACGGCACGGCGCGCACAAACACGGACGTCTTCAGCAAGGTCTTCCACTGCGTGCCCAACGACCACGTCCGCACCTGGAAGGACTACGACGACTTCTTCTCCCGCCACTTTGCCAACCCCGGCACCGGTAAGCCCGGCGACGCCAAGGTCGAGTACGGCCACGTCGTCCCCGACGAGTTCCCCGGCGGCGTCGCCGAGGTCAAGGAGTGGCTGTCGCGGGTCAGGGGCAACCTCGTCGAGATGCCGCTCAAGTTCCTCATTGACGTGCCCGATATTGCCATTGAGGGCCTCCAGCTCAACAGCTTCACGCAGGAACTCTACACGTGAGACGGCGGGCTGGCGGCGCATGCCTGTCTGGCGGTGGCATGTCGGGGATGGCAGGTAGGGGGGCGGCTCGTTTGGGGAGGGTTGACCGGTAGAGCACACGCAGGCCGAGGGGCGTGTCTTTCCAAAGAGGATTCAAATAAACTGAGAGGAGAAGAAGAAAGGCAGACAGACCGTCACGAATGATGACACGAACGAACAATGACACAAACAGGAATATTCAGAAACTATGCGGAACCCCTATAAACTCCGCAAAAACCCATGATGAACGCACAAACGTCGTCCCGAACAGTAGCTCCTCCCCTTTCTGACCCCGTCTTAGTCGACCTTTCCGTTACCGCTGGGGCCCCCGCCGATGAGACCCTCCTTCATGAGCTCCTTGGTGCTCCAGCTGTCGTCCAGACGCACAAAGTGACCGCCGCGGTGACGGCGCATGCGGTTGCGCACCCATCCGGCGCCGGCGATCATGATGGCGAGGACGGCGCCGACGGACAGGAAGGGGTGGTCGACAAAGGACATGCGGAAGTCGAAGAAGAGCTTGGAGATGAAGGAGAGGGTCGTCTTGGGGCGGATCTCGGGCGGCGAGGCCGTCACCTTGGGAAGCGTGTCGAGGATGGATGTGTGGGACAGGAGAATGTTGGTGTTGGTGTCGGTCACATCCCAGTAGCGATGGCGCTTCAGTCTTGTCAGCAAGTCTTTTTTTGTCTGCGGAATGATGGGATCCCGGTAGAAAATAGCAGAGGATAACCAAGGGGGGGGGGGGATACTCACGTCCTCGTCATTAATGATGACTCGGTTGCCGCCGGTGCTTACGTCGATGCCGTACGTCGTCTTGAGCCACCGCTGCCAAAAGACGCCGTCGATCCAGGCAAAAGCAACCTCCTTACGGGGGCTCTTGGACATGTCGACGCGGATAAGCTTGGCGTTGTCCTTGGCGCGCTCGTCGCCGCGGTTCTCGGCCTCGTCAATCTTGAGCTGCTTGGCGTCGCGGAGTTCCTGGCGCTCCTTCTGGAAGAGAACAATCTGCTTGTCCATCCAGTCGTTGGCGGCCTTGTTGAGCTCGCGCTTGGCGTCGGCCAGCGTCTCGGCGTCGTTGCGGTTGATGATGGCAAGAACGACAATCTTGCCATCCATGATCTCGCGCGAGTTGGTGGCCACGAGCTCGGGGACCATGGGCAGCCAGACGGAACGCATCCAGGCGAGGATGCCCTCGACGTCACGCATCTCACGAGGTGTCAGCGGGTTGTAGTATGTCGGGCGGCCACTGCGCGAGACAAGAAGGCGCGGGAACGTGGTAATCTTGTAGCGCTCGGCGAGCTTGGGGTCCTGGGTCTTGACGATGCGGGCGCGGCCGACAAGGCTGACGGGCATCTTCTCGAGCGAGGCAAAGTCCTCGCTCGTCGTGGCGTGGTCGTAAAAGTAGACAAAGACGACCTCCTCCTTCTGCTCAAGAGCCTCGAGGGCGGCGGCGTCGACGTCGACGACGCCAACGGCCGCAGCCGCGGCACCCTCACCGTACGACTTGAGATCACCGAGGCCGCGAAGACCCTCGTATTCGGCGCGCTCCGTGCCCTTGATAAAGAGAAGCGTGGGGAAGGCGCGGACGCCGACTTCCTTGCAGAGCTTGGCCTCGACGTCACAGTTGACCTCGCCAATGTTGAGCTTGTCCTTCATCTCCTTGCCGAGCTGGGCCCAGGTGGGCGCGAGGGCCTGGCAGTGGTGGCACCAAGGGGCGTAGAACTTGATGAACCATGGCTTCTTTGACCCTGTAACGAGGGTCTCGTACTTCTCGGCCGTCAGGGCCACCGACACGCCATCAGGGTTGAACGTCTCGGTGGGTTTGGGAGGCGCCTCGGGAATCGTCTTCTTGGGGCTTGGGACAGTCTCCTCAGGAGTCGTCTTGTCGGGTGTCGCACTGCTCTCGTCCTTACCCTCCTCAGGGGCCGCCTTGGGAAGGTCACCAGTCTCGGACCCGGCAGCGGCGTCGGTCTTGGTGTCAGAGGTCATGGCAGCGGCGGGGCTGAAGTCGGGCGTCTGCTTGTCGCCGGTGTTGGGCAGATTGAGCTCCTTGGGGCGGGTTCCGGGCTTGGCGGCCTCGAGAAAGGGCTCAAAGGCCGTGGTCAGGACGTCGAGCCCCTTGACGCCCTTGACAGTCTCGGCAGCTTGGCCGTCCTTGTACAGAATGGTGGTCGGGTAGGACTGGACCTTGAGGGAGGCACAGAGGTCGAAGAAGGCAACGCAGTTGATGGTGGCGAATCGAATATCGTAGAACTCCATGAAGGAGACATCTTCGGTAGTGACGGGCTTGGAGGTGTAGTAGTACTCGTAGAGCGTCTGGTAGGTCGGGGCATAGTCGATGCAGTGCGGGCAGTAGGGACTGTTGAACGAGGTCTGGTCAGCGCACCACTTTCCGTGGCGAGATGCTTGCTGCTGTGCTGTCAGGAGACGCGACGAACCTGTAATGCTTGACGACAACGAACTTGGTCGCATTGATCTCCTTGTCAAAGTTGTCGGGTGTCAACTCGAGCATGGGAGGGACCTTGACCGAGTTGAAGTAGGTGTTTGGATCATCATTCTTGGGTTTTTTCGTCATCTTTGGCTTCTTGATGGCGAGGGCGAGGGTACTCGTGGCGAGCACGAGTAGTGTTGAGAGCTTCATGACGGAAGGGCGATGACAGGTCTGCCAGCGTTCGTCGCAACTGGGGCAGAGGAGGGCGAAGAAGGAGGAGAGGTGTGAGAAAGCGGTCCGCCGGAAGCTGGGTTCAAGAAATCCGATGGTAGTTTGAATCGGAGACTGGTATGGGCGGCCAACTTGGATCAACAGGTTTCAGGGGTCTCGGTAGGGATCGGCCGTATCGTGATGGGGTGTGGGGGATCGCGGCGTGAGGATGGTCAAGCCTGTGGCGTAAGAAGGAGCGGGAGAAAAGAAGATGGCCCTTTGTCGAAATCATCAAAGGTCGTACATCAACAACTGCCTCAGAGGGCTTCCCTTTTCGTACGTCGTCGGAGAAATAGGAAACGTGGAACTTTTCGTGCTGGTGTTGCAGCGGGTGGACGAATTGGGCGACACGACACGACACGACAGGACCCGAGTTGGTAGAGGAAGAGAAGCGACGACAGCGACAGCGACAGCGACAGCGACAGCGACACCAGGGCAGGGGTCTGACGCCTGGCTGATGGGGCCACAAGTGTGGGAGATGGGGGGCGATGATCCGAGAGCTGGCGCGGATGCTGGGCTGTAACAGGGAGAGTTTAGTGCCATGCCTGGGATGAGGTGCCTAAAAGCTAGCAGCTGGCTCTATCGCCCAGTCCAGGCCCCCAAAGCTAAACTTGCTCAATAGGGGTTCAATAAAGCGGCCTGCCAATGCCCGATGCGTTTCATTCAGTCCATCTTCTTTAAGCTTTTCCTCACTGTCTGTCCCTCGCCAGAACGGAAACACAGCACCCCTGGGGCCTCACCTGCTGCCGTGAGGATACGTGTACCACTTGATGATGATTAAGGTGCATCTTGCCAGGTACGCGTAGGGGGAAAGTACAGGCTGTGCACCCTCCATCGATCTCAGAAACTGACTGAACTGCACCAACAAGCAGCTCACGGCGAAACGAACCATCTTGGAGCCTGGCTGCGACCTGCTCCCCCTGATCCCCATTCCGCTGGCCCCTCTTTCATGGTCACTTGCCACTGTCTGCTGTACTGTAGCAGCTGCCGCACTGACGTGACTCGTTAGTGACGGCGGCCTTCCCATAATCACTGCCCATTCGATGTTTGCACAGTTCATAGATGGGTTGCCTTTGGCAAGCTTTGCGAACGATTCCTTACCTGCAATAGACAGTCGAACGGCGGAAGATTCAGGCAAGAGAAGTGACAGACCTATCATGAATCTGGCTTCGATACGAGAGCTTACGGCTTCAACCCTGAGCCGCGGCCCACGAAGTATAGAGACGACGAATTTTGCGACAAAGATAAAACCTGTGAAGGTCATGTATACCAGACCAAGCAGTCTATGACCGACGCGCTCAAGTTTGCATCAGCGTGATACCACAGAATGCCTTCCCACAGTGTCGTTGTCCGAGGGCACTGCAAAAGGGTCTCAATTGAAAGGTATGATGTGTACAGGCGAACCTCTAGCTGCAGAGAGACCGATTCCAGATGTCGTTCCACCCTATGCCACATGATGTAAAGGGAATCCGAAGTCGCAAACTATTGCTGCGCCCTGGTAATGACGAAGCACCTACAATGCACGCACATGGCCAACAGACTGTTTTTCATGATGTTTTGGCGCCAAGTAGTGCTGTCTTCTTATGGTAGCACGAATGTTGATAGAGTTCGATAGAGTCGCATATCTTATGCAGCAAGCCTTATCCTCGTAAGATCTGTAGACTAGCTCGCAAGGTTGGAGATATCCGCACTACGCATCCTCGCGCTAGACACCATCAACTCTCTCGGAAGCCACTCCACAGTTTTGCCCTTCGGCCTGCCTGGGGCCGCAGCAAGCTCCTCCTCCTCGCACCCATCAACCATGATGCCAAGAGCCGTCCCCGAAAGCCAGGCCCAAACCATTCCCTCGCCAGAGAAGCCCGCCGCGATCCACTCCCCATGCAATCCTCTCACCTTCTTGCTGGCGACCTTACGACCCGTCAAGCCACTGTGAAGGCGACCGACGAAGGGGAGAAAGTCGCCTGTCATGCCCAAAATTCCCGACCAAGCATTCTCAACCGAAGCACCCTTGCCCCATTTTGGCGAGAAGACGGCCGGGAAAATGCCAGATATATGAGAGACTGTCAGAGCATCGATACGTGCGCCGTCGTCGTACAGGCCAACCTGGTCGACCCCCTGCTTCAAAGAACGGCTGAAGCCGCCGCCCAGCATCAAATCACCCTGTGGTTCGTCGGGTGACGAAGGCCGCTGGGTAACATAATCGAAAGCTCCGCCATAGATGACGCCCCAGGAGCGCTGCCCCTGGCAGTTTGGAAATAGTTCACCTGGGCGCTGAGACGACATGTGAGCCCGAACGCCTGTGATCTTGCTGCGAAGGCCTGGGACAAGATGACTCGCGAATGCGTTCGTCGCGTGGACTACATGGCGGACGTGTACGGTCCCACGAGGCGTGTGGACGATGTAGGGAAAATCAGCCAACTCATCGGGACTGGTGCTGATTGCCTCAACCGGTGTCATCGTCTCCACGAAGAGCTGCTCGGGGAAGTCGTCCAGGAGGCGCTTCCAGATGGACACCGCAAAGCGGTACGCCCAGATCGCCCCGGCGCGGTAAGAAAGCGCGCCGGCCACGCTCTCGTTTGCTCCGAATTTCTGCAAATGTCAGAAGTCTAGCTCGGAGTCAGGAAAACCTTCAGAGTGAACAGACCTTTCTCGCTTCATCGCTCTCCCATACCTCAACGTCTACCTCTGGTACCCATTCCTTCAACTCTGCAAGATCTTCGACAGTCTTCCGAAACGTCTCTTCGTCGAGGTACAAGTCGGCCGTTTCGACCTCCCTCGCTTCGGCGGCATCGATACCCTCAGAAGCGCAGAGCTCTGTCAGACAATCAATGTGACGAAGCTGGAATCGGGTGAGCGCAGCAGCACGTTCCGGGCCGTACATTTTGCGAAACCGGGGGAATATCTCATAGGCGGTAGGCTTGATGTGTCCTCCATTACGGGCCGTGGCGCCACTACATAGCTGTCGAGCTTCGAATACGACGATCTTGCCATCGCCAGGCAACCCAGACTCGCTGCCCGAGACAGTCCCTCGACGTCGGCGCTCGTGAAGCAGCGACCGGACAATAGCAGCACCAGCTATGCCGGACCCGATGACGGCGACGTCTGCCGTTTCAGGAAGCCTCGGGGAGCCAATGCCGACTAGCTCTGGAAATGGTGGGTTGTTCAGCCAATATGGCTGGGTTGGCTTCGGGTTCGGGAGGCCGGGGAGCTTCGCCGCTCGGTTCAAGGCTGCATTGAACTCGGTCGACAAGGCAGAAAGCAGGCTCAGCGCTGCTTTGATCCCCTTAAAAGCATCAAATACTGCAGAAATCACGGAGCCCATAGCCTTCGCTACACGGCTTCAATGCTCATGCGGATTGAAGAGGATCAGCTTCGAAGTCTGAGCTGAAGCTCAGCTTTGACAGATAAGGTACAGGTACCTACCTAGATCCCTAGGTAAGGGAAGGTACAGTCATGCGACAAAAAAACGACGGATTTCCGTTTCCACACAAAAACACATAGTTTTCTAACCTCTATTACTTACTCTATAGATCACTATAAATAATGATTTTGATAGTACTTGTAGAAACTTACTGAATCTATAGCGTCTATCATTCAGATTACTAGTAGCTATTTTATTTATTTTATAATAGTACTTTGAAAGTTAAATCAGTATTTCTGTCTCCCCACTGTACCAAGGTCCCTAGGTGCCTACTTATAGGGACCAGGACCCATTACATAATCTGGTGGTGAACACCACGTCGTTCTTTCCCCGCACGCCGACAACAGGGACGCCATGGACTTGTATTTTGGTCCTCGATTGAACAGATACCATCCATCGCTCTCGAGTTGGTGACCAGCATTCAACTTCCACAGCGATCATCAAGGTCTGGGCTTCGTGCGCGACCAGATCCGAACAGAAAACCATACGAAGAATCAAGTTATCTTAGATGAAGATGCAGCCTTGTCCGTTTACGGTGTTGTTGTCAAAATCTCGCCTCAAATTACTGACAGCTCGGTATTTGGACACGGATCTATGAAGATGAAATAGGCTTCCGTGACATGGTCGATATGAAGGCAGCTAACGCAGCTTCCGGCTGATACGCCGGCACTTCGTGACCGGCCTCGTACACCCTCAGCCAGCTCAGGTTCCCAGAGGTCTTGTATTCGCCATACTGCTTTCCATTGACCGTGTAGGGAAGGAGAGGCGCCGAGAGAAAAGGCTTCTTGGCGATGGAGCTCAGTGCTCGGTAGTTACCCATCCAGTTGCAAATCCAATCTGACCTTGTTAGATTTATGCTCGTCACGCGAAGATACAGGAGCTCCGTCGACTTACCAGCATCGCCGGCCCAGATCAACACGGTGATACCTGAGTCAATGACTTGCGACAAGGTTGGCAAGAACGATCGGCCGCCTGTTTGGTTTGGTCAGCCCTTGTTTCATGTAAAGCGCGTCATTTCACAACTTACGATCACCACTGGAGATGAACTTGGTGTAGGGCGCATCCGGGCATTCTCCATAAGTTGTCTGGGCGCCGATGGCCTTCATCACAGCCGGCGTTTGCAGATACGTCAAGTATGTTTCAGGAGGGAAAGGGTCATTCTTGGGGCCTCGGATGTCGTAGACATCAAAGCTGGCGAGCGACTCCAAGGGACTCTCGATGGCCGCGCTGCACACGTCGTCGGCGTTGCCACAGGCGGCATCATTACCAGTCAATCCTGTGCACTTGGCAAACGCTGGTACGCACTTCTTCTGGTAGGTGGAGACGTATGTGCTATATTGCTTCGGGGTGATGAGCTTCTTGTACGTGTTGTTGGCGGCGTAGTCGATGTAGTCCTTGTATTGGTTGGCTGCGCGGTTCGTGTTAGCAGGTCATCGGCGGAAGGTAGCTTGTGACGCCCTGGAGATCCCAAATGAGAACGTACCAGGATCGATCCAGCCGTTGTTTACACCAAGGGCAACAAGGTTGATCTTCTCGCCCGCGATCGTCCCGGCGTCAATGGCAGCATTCTGCTGCTCGAAGAAGAAGGCGAACTCTGGGCCGTAGTGGCCTCCATAGGACTCGGTGAAGATGCCGAAGTCACGGCCCTCATACTCAGGGAACTGGGCGTAGAAGGCTTGCAAGAGCTTCCAGACCCTTGGGGCAGCAGCAAGAGTCGAAGTGGCATCATCTGTGCCGTAGCTGAAACCGGTACCAATCGGCTGATCAACATAGAGCTGAATCTATTAGCTTCATGTTCGCATTCGACATTGACCACACACCTTACCATGTTTGCAAATGTATTCCATGAGTAAGGGTTTAAAGTCGGCTCGGAACCTCCGCCATTGAAAGTGCAAGGTCCATTCTCTTGGAAAAGGCCGATCATGGAGCTACATCCGGGACCGCCGTTTAACCATAGAGCAAGAGGGGCTTTGCTGGCATTTTGTCGGGCCTCAAAGAACCAGAAGAACATGTTCATATTCGTGCCTTTTTCATGGATGAATGATCAGTGATGCAAGCTACGTAGACCGCCACCCAGATCTATGCTCACCAACTGAGAAGTAGCCCGAGTGCTGATTCACTCCAGGGGTCGTCTCGCAAATGCCAGAATTGGACACAATCTTGGTTGTGGCTCCTGTGGCGGCATGCTCAAACACCTTGTACTTGACGCCATTGGAGTCGAGAGTGTACCTCTTGTCCAGGGCAGCTAGCGGTGTCGACTCACCAAGCCCCAGGAAGGCGAAGGTGGTCAAGAGGTTGAGAATCGTGGCCCTCATGGTGGACTGATAAAATCGCAAAGGGCGTGGGAGGTGGCGTGAGTTCAGGGGTAGGGATGAGGATGCATGCCAAGACGGGAGGCGAAGATCAAATCCCCGTACTTATGTTCTGACAGGCTTGGCGATGTCATCGCCAACATCTCAGATCAGACAGCATCCCTCATTCTTCCCCGGCTTTGTGAACCCGACGGATGGGGGTCTCGTGTCATTGTGTTATCGGGTGGAGGCTGTAGCGACCTGCCACAAAAGGCAATCGATAGGCCACTTAGGCCGCTGCATCCGGATAGCATGCGGTCACTCGGTATCACATTGCCGCTCGTTGAGCTACGAGTGAGTGACAGACTACAGCCCAGCCCAGAGCTCCGTATCGGCTGGCTGAGATGATGAGCCAAACAGCTTTTGAATTCACTTGAGCGACATCAGGTGTTCGGCAGTTATATGACACCTTCCTAGTAGAGCTAGAAGCCATACGTAAGCTGCGATGGCGCTTCGGGTAGTCGGCTCTTCATGGTCGGCCTAGAGCACAAGTGCGGCATGGCGGCGCCTCCACAAACTGAACCCCTGAAAACCCCCGACCTTGCTCGACTATATCTAAGATCATTGGCTGGTACATGATAATCAAGTCGATGCGGCGGGAATAACCGACAACGTCGGCTTTTGAGAGCACAAGGCTTTCCCGCACATCAAGATTAGCCGTTGATCAGGACCATATCTTTAATGCTCCTACAAGGGCCGACCTGAGCGACCGTCGATTTAAGAACGTCAGTGGTTTATGATTATTTGTGCCAGAATTTGCTGTGAAGTGAATTACGTAGTTCCCGGGCATGGAGACATCATCACGGTCAGCCTTGGCAGTGTCGGTATCCTTTCCGCAATCCAGGCAGACAAAGCTGGGCAAGACTGACACACACTTTTCTGTCCATATCGCATGTTCAAGAGATTCCAAGGTCGTCAACGGCACCATGATGAGCTCATTCAACACATCTGGAATACATTGACAAACTACATTTGGACCTTCCAGAACGAGTGTTCTGTCCGATCCTTGACCCATGGGGTCACGGCACTTTCAAGCCGTCTGGGGATGATCGGCGTCTGAAAAGATCGCTCGCTGGTCGCTGTCTTAAACGGGATCATTTACACGTGCCGAGGAACTAGGTCCCTGCCCGAAAGCTTGTCTGCACAGCGGTTCTGGCGCGCGCGAACGGGGTCATGGAGCCAGGGCTGACTTTCAATGCCGTTTGGTCGTTTGCCGATTTGCCGATACGCGCCTGTATTAGACCCCTTGCGCGATACTTGAAAGCACTTCAACGGGAATGACAACCCAAATCCATCTCCAACCCGTTGTCATGTATCTAGATTTCCCTCAGATAACACTGCTGGGAAATGTCGTTTCATGTGTGTCTGGCTTAGCAGATTTTAAGCCACATTCTGGAGCAAAACGAGCTTCCTCGTCCGTACTAGACCATTCTGTTGCTGACGTGTATACGTCTCGTGAGGTTGGATACAATCCGCATTCCTACCTCGATCCGGCTTGGAGCCCAAACGTTGTGATGTTGTTGTGGTATCGCGTCAAGTCTCTGAAGTACCTCACTTGTTGTCTGCCATGGCCACGATGAGTACCAGGAAGTGCTGGAGGCCAAGTCTTCTCAAATATAAATATCATCTTCTTCATCTCCTCAGTGTCGAAATCAGCTCTCTTCAGGCTTCACATCACCATCTCCTTACCTTCCATTTGACCTCTGCCCCTTACACAAGTTTGAAAGATCATATCTTCCTCGAGCTTCACCAAAAATAACGAAAATGCACACCTTCGGCACCTTCTTCGTTGCCATCCTCGCCGCCACTGGCTACGCGGCCGTCGTGCCTACCAAGATCGGTATCCCTGATCAGGGCACATTCTCTGTGCGCGCAGTGCCCAACCCAGGTTTCCAACACAGGAACGGTGCCATCGCCCTCGCCAAGGCTTACAACAAGTTTGGCAAGGCGGCGCCCGCTGACGTTGCTGCCGCTGCCGCCAATGCCACCGAGAGCCGTTTGTCAAAGCGCACCACCGGTTCAGCCACGGCTTCCCCCGAGGCCAACGATGTCGAGTACTTGACCCCTGTGCAGATTGGCACGCCGGCACAGAACCTCGTCCTCGACTTCGACACTGGTTCCAGTGATCTCTGGGTTTTCAGCACCGAGCTGCCTAGCTCTCAGGTCAACGGACAGACTCGGTACAACCCCGCCTCTAGCTCGACCTCATCGAAGGTTGCCGGTGCCAAATGGTCCATTAGCTACGGCGATGGTAGCAGCTCCAAGGGGGACGTGTACCTGGACAAGGTGACCATTGGTGGCCTCACCGTGAAGAAGCAGGCTGTTGAGGCAGCCCAGAAGGTTTCCAGCTCTTTCACCTCGGACCCCCTGGATGGTCTTTTGGGCCTCGCCTTCAGCTCTATCAACACTGTTTCTCCCTCGCAGCAGTTGACCTTCTTCGACAATGCGAAATCCACTCTGGATGCTCCCTTGTTCACTGCTGATCTGAAGCACGCTGCGGGTACGTCCTTTCTCTTCAGAAGTGACGTTTTGCACTACTAACAACCATGTTCAGCTGGCAAGTACAACTTTGGTTACATTGACAAGACCGCCTACAAGGGTGCCATTACCTACACCAATGTCGACAACAGCGACGGCTTCTGGTCCTTCACCTCGACCGGTTACCAGGTCGGAACCGCAGCCTTCAAGTCTTCTCCCGTCACCGGCATTGCTGACACCGGCACCACGCTGCTCCTGCTCCCCACCTCCGTCGTCTCGGCCTATTACGCACAGGTCAGCGGCGCCAGGTACGACAGCTCGCAGGGTGGCTATGTTTTCAGCTGCAGTGCTACCCTCCCTGCCTTCACGTTTGGCGTCGAGTCTGCGCGCATCATGATCCCCGGAAGCTACATCAACTTTGCCCCCGTTGATGACTCGGGATCTGTTTGCTTCGGCGGCATCCAGCGCAACACGAACATTGGCTTCTCCATCTTCGGCGATGTGGCCCTCAAGGCCGCTTTCGTTGTCTTCAACAGTGGTGACCTGACTCTCGGTTGGGCCTCGAAATAAGGGAGAGTTCGAGGAGTAAGCGTGTCCTTCCCGTGCTCGTTTCTTGTTCAAAATTGCCGGCAATAAGGCCTGACGAGGTCTGTCTATTTTCTAGTTTCCCATATAACTTTATCAGATGAACTTAACGACATTCTATACTGTGTGTTTGGTGTTACATTTCAAGTGACGTGATTTTTTTTTACAAAAATTCAATCCAGACAGTTCTTCTGCCCACTACAGTTCCATTCCCTCTGCTACCTGGTTCAATCCGTGTGAACAAACTGGAAGCAACTGAACAGGTTGCTCTCGCCTTTTATGATCCCCAACCTCGGCTAGACTAATCAGGCGGCAGCGTGACAGGACTCGATGCCTCTTCATATGACGGCAACTGAGCTTGCCGGCGACTCTCTCGACAGGAAGCAGCAGAATCGCAATGGTTGGAGAGCGGCGGCCCGGGGCCAGATGAGCTGCGCCACCGGTATGTGGGCTCCTTTTGTTCAAGCAGTGAACATTCAGTGGATCATTGGCCGGGTCGATCAGCGTGTCTCTGGGAACTAACAGAAAGCCAGACGCTATGGATCAAAATACCTTTTGTTGAGCTATGAATTATGTTGGAGTCCCTTCGCGATAGGAGATGACGCACACGACGAGAGAAAGTAGAAAGACGATCCGCTTTTCTTCTTCTTGAATAGTATTAGAGCTCCATAAGGGACAATAGGTTGAATTAAGCACTTTCATCAGGATAGAATGAGTCCACTTCCGTGGCCAGTGTCCTGACTATTGACTCCTGAGTTCTGCGCTGAAAGTCTTCTTGCAAGACAACGAGCCAGGTCGCGGTGACATGAGGAGGAGGAATGTCGAATAGAAAAAAAAACCAAATATTGATCTAATCGACTTATTGCAAGGAACTTTTTACGATCAAGTAAGGTCAAATGGCGGAGAGGTGATTATCTTAACATTGAGAGCAGACTCTGAGAGCGTTAGACATCCCCCTCTCACCTCGCCAGAGTCAAAGTGGTCCGAGCTTTGACCACCAACCCCAACCCCCACCTCAAAGGAAGTCAGGTACTACCAATCCCCTATTGCTCCTTCTCTCGATCTACGCCATCCGTTCTTGCCAGCATGGAGCTGCTCTGGATCGTCGTTCGAAATTGACTTCAACTCCATCAAACCCATAAAACGTCACTTTCCTGTTTCATGGTTCATAGAAAGGCATATCCTCCCACGACGCAGGCATAAGCGACGCCTGGTCCTTGTCGGTGGGCCACTTTGATCGTTGTCATCGTCGGCTCCAAAGCAGGCGAGGAGGTCAGCAAGACTCTGGACACTGGCTCTCACTGCGTCTCTGACCACGGTGATAGACTGAGAGATCTTCCATTTCGGTGACAGTTTCGTTTGATGAGACTTGTCGACCATGGAACGTCCCTCCAAGCGACTGCGTGTCACTGAGGACGTGACGGATGACCCGCCAGCCCAGCCTTCAAGCCTTCATCGTGCCATCAGCCCCCCAGCCAGGAAGAAATCCAAGGCGACCACGACCCCGTCTCCTTTTCAGCTGACGCATATTCGAGATCTACCCGATTCGTCGAATGCAGATACCGTCACCTTGAAAGACCTGCTCGGCGACCCGCTCATCTCAGAGTGCTGGGAGTTCAACTTTCTTCACGACATTCCCTTCCTCATGAGCCACTTTGACAAAGACACAAGGGACCTCGTCAAAGTGCACGTCGTCCATGGCTTCTGGAAACGGGAGGATGGGAACCGCATGGCTCTGCAAGTAAGATAAGACGACCTGCTGCGCACTTTCGACAGCGAACTTCTCGTCAGGCTTGCTGACTGCCTCATCAGGAAGAGGCTGCAGCCTGGAAGAACCTTGAGCTCCACAACGCTCCCATGCCCGAGATGTTCGGCACGCACCACACCAAGATGATGATTCTCTTTCGCTTCGACGATACCGCCCAGGTCATCATTCACACGGCCAACATGATCGCCAAGGACTGGACCAACATGACCAATGGCGTCTGGCGGTCGCCGCTTCTGCCGCTGGGGCCCCAGCCCGATAGCGGAAAGCCGGAAGCTGAAGAGGAATCTGAAGCAGACGAGGACTTTGGCTCGGGGCGCAAATTTAAGTCCGATTTGCTGAGTTACCTGCGCGCCTACGATGCCCGAAAGATCACCTTGAGACCGCTTACGGAGCAACTGGTCAAGTACGATTTCGCGGGCATACGCGCCGTTTTCATCGCCAGCGTTCCGGGAAGGCATGCCATACACGACACATCGCAGACGGCATGGGGTTGGCCGGCGCTCAAGCGTGCCCTTCGCCGCGTGCCGGTTCAAGCGGGAAAGTCAGAGGTAGTCGTGCAGATCTCGTCCATAGCCACGCTCGGTGGAACGGATTCTTGGCTGCAAAAGTGTTTGTTCGACTCGCTTTCGCTGTCAAAAGGGTCGTCCATCAGCCCAAGACCAGCCTTCAGGGTGGTCTTCCCAACCGCAGACGAAATCAGGAGGAGCCTCGACGGCTATGCGTCTGGTGGATCAATACACACCAAGATTGCATCCCCACAGCAGGCCAAGCAGCTCGCATACTTGAAACCAATCTTTTGCCACTGGGCGAACGATGCGCCAGGCGGGAAAGGTTCGCGCCGCTGATCGGGAGTTCTCAACCAACATAGCTAATGATGGACAGAAATCAGTAAAGACACGGCCCTGCAGGATGCCGGTCGTCAGCGAGCAGCACCACATATCAAGACATATATTCGTTACGGGACGCAGTCCATTGACTGGGCTCTGCTGACGTCAGCGAACCTGTCTAAACAGGCATGGGGGGAGGCGGCCAGCGCAGCGCAGGAGGTCAGAATTGCCTCCTGGGAAGCTGGTGTCTTAGTCTGGCCATCACTAGTTGCAGGGACGGACGAGGCCATTATGGTGGGTACATTCAAGACAGATGCGCCGGGCGAGGAAGCGCCATCTGGCGCGCCATCTAGTACTGGAAATGTAGTAGGCCTACGCATGCCATACAGCTTGCCGCTCCAGCTGTATGGAAAGGACGAGATACCTTGGGTTGCTTCTAATGAGCACACCGAACCAGATTGGGCGGGACGCGTGTGCCTTAGACAGTAAGTGCACGAAGGATGAGCAACGCATTACAAAGACGATAAACGGGAGCGAGCGGGCAGCGCGAGTCTGGAGGTTGCGGGCATTGCTTGCGCTTACGTTGTAGTGGCGGGAAGACGGATTCTCTTGCTATCTAGGCCAAAACTCTATCGATTCAGCCAGCCGTGGCAGAGTGTATACATCTTTTGTGATCGTCAAGGGGCGTTTCGTAATCTTCACTCGTCGAGAGATAGGAAGCACTTAGGCGCCGACGGACTCGGGAACCTTGTCGGCATCGTAGCCGTGGGACTCCTTGAGGCTGTTGACGAGCTCGACGTACTTGGCCTGAGCCTGCTCGGCGGTGGTGCCGGCGTCGGTCTCCTTCTGCCACGCACTCCTCTTGGCCTTGGCCTGCAGTCCAGAGAGGTTAGCGTCCTGTGTATCCGCTTGTGCGATGGGAGAGGGGTTATGTGGTGGTAGCGTACCTTGAGGTCGAACATGCCGGGCGAGGGGGACTGCCTGATGTCCTCGCCGTTGCCAATCTTGAAGAGGGCTGTCGAAGAGGGTCAGCGTTGCTTGTACGATAAAGCAAGACGTGCCACGAGATCGTGTCCTCTTCCTCTTTCTTGGGAAGGGCAGAAGGCGATCGTGATCTCGGGCAAAAGGACAGATAAGGTGGGGGGGGGGTGCATTGCGATGGCACTCACCGTAAAGCTGGAGGAGATCGTCGTTGCTCGGCTTGGAAGTGAGCTTCTGGCTGTCGACGACAGCAGTCTTGAAGGCCTCGCTCTGGGGAACAGACATGATGACTGGTTTGTGGGTATGTGATTGGGGTATAGATAGAAATGCTTGTCTTGCAGACGAAGAGATGCGGTGTCGTGGGTAATGAGGACTTTTATGGGTTTGTTGAGGACAAAGTTGGAGGCAGGGCCGGGTGGTGGTGTTGGCGGGGTCAAACGGGCGGCGGGCGGATGACAAGGAGCACTGGAGCTCGGTAACAGCGCATGTGCTCGCTCATGTGCGCATGGGCGCGGGGCAGGTATGTCCGACTTGGGGTGCACCTGCCGCTGTTGACGGCTGATGGAGCATTGCACTGTCATTTGGACCCGATTTATTTCGTGGGTCGCGCACCGCCGTCTTTCGGCGTCACGGTCCGTGGGTGCGAGGGTCTGGCGATGGAAATCACAAGGCAGGGATGAGGGAAGAGTGTGGCTGGTGAGATCACCCGAAGTGAAGGTGCGTTCGTGAAGTCGTCTCTGCCTGCCTAGCAAGCCTAGGTACCTAGGTAGCTACCTACCCACCTTTCCTGTCCGTCCGCAAGATCAGGCAAGGTAGGGGGTACCTCAGGCAATCAGCTACGTATTGAGAAGGCTTTCTCGTCCCAGCCTGACATGGCCATCGACGTGGTCGTGAACATGCTCAAGGCGACGAAGAAGAAGAAGCCTCAAGCTAACATGCACGATGTACCGTTGCATCGCTCAAAACGAATCAAAACCCGGCTGCAGCCTGGGCTGTATGATCGCCTCGCGTCCCCGTTTCACAAATGATAGAATCAATCACCCAAGGTTCAATATTGACAACGCGTTCCACGAGCCAGATGAAGAGGGATCGCCGTCAAGTCGTGAGGCTCGGTCAAACTTCATCGCAGCCTTACATGTACCTCTCTCACACCCGCCAACCGCCACGCACCCGGAAATCCTCCCTGACTCGGGTCCGACAGGGCAATCCCTCGCCCGGGAGTGCTCCATTCAAATGCCTCGGGGCAACGTTGGGGAAGACCGGCACAACTCTCTCTATTCGATGATGACATGTCGTTGCGAGCCCAATGGCACGGACTTGAGTGGTCGTGGCTGAGCTTTAAGACACCCACGCATTACTACGGACCCCTGATAAACAACGTACCAGGCCGGGAAGCTTCGTTGCACCCT